TTTTTGGGAACAAACTTATTTGAGCTCGGATAAAAAATCTATTATTTTGTTTAGTTGCAAGTCTAGAAACTAATATATCACTTTGCGAAAATAGGGCAGGACAGTCAACCTTCTCCTACATCTTATATAAAAATAAAACAGTTGTAAGATAATACAATCACATAAATTCGAAACAAAAGTATTCAATTTCATATCGTGGGCTAATATATCAAACATTTGCATCAGATAAATCATTGATGAAGATCAAAAAGAGAAGAGGTCCCGAATTGGTTCCTTGAGGGACGTCAGTAGTTGCAATATCTGAGCAAAAACCGTTATATCAGACAAATTGCTTGCGATTACATAAGTATGCTCGTAGATGTTCTGTCCATCAAGATATTATTAAAAAGGGTATTCGTGATAGTTACTTTTCTTTGCCTTATCTTTGATGAAAATTTGAATTATTGAACAAATTACGTGTATAGAAACCCTTACCTTAGTTGATTAATTTGATCACATGAAATAACCTCTAGTCACGTGACGTTAAATGTATTTCATAAATTAATTTAAATATGGTTCTATATTGTCGTTTATTTGATCGACTCATGCAATGGTTATGGGTACATTTTTCATTAGCGATTAATAATAATTATCTACTATCGAAATAATTGAAATAGACCCCTGAGTTTTTAAACCGACATTAAGAAAACGTAGGGGCAAAAAAATTTGAAGAGCTTTTGAGACAAATAACCTTCACAGTACTAAAGACAACGGTTCGACTTCTCATCAGTAAAAATTTGGAATTTTTTATGAATTAACAACAAAATTACGACGAGTTAGAGTGAGATTTGTAGTCAAAAAACCGTGATTTTTTCAACATTTTCATTAATAACTAAAAAATGGGATAATTAAACTAACTGAAATTTTAGCACACAATGAAGTAATAGTGAGGCTATATATGGTCCAATTTTCAATTTTTTTTACCCCGATGTTTTCTTAATATCGGGTCTATTTCATTTATTTCTATAGTAGTTGATATGAAATTAAAAATATATATATTCTATTCATTTAGTTCCATCATGAGCATCATTCAAGGTAACAATAAAAATTATTAGTTATTAAAAATTGCTAATACTTAATTTTTTGTAATTAAAAATTAATGGATAATATTAATTTAAAATCGTAATTTTATTAAACTCTTAAATGCAATGTTTAGATTATTATCAGAGAACAATTTCGTTGGTTGATCCAAGTACTTTTCCAAAGCAAAATAAGTTATATTCTGAAATAATTCCTCTTTCTCGTAGTAAAATGTCAAAAGAACATTAAGATACTGAAATAAATTCTGTAAATTAATAACAGGTTTAGAATGGTGTTTTTCCTTTAACATTTCGCATCAAGTTTTTCATATTTAAAAATAAACAATCTGGCAAATTATATAATACTTAATTGGCTTAAATATTAAAATTTGTCAAGATTTTTATTAAAATATTTTATTTATTAAAGTAAACTTTAATTTTAAAAATTAAGACAATTTCTTGAAAAAAACAATAGTAAATTAGTATAAATATTTGTTTGAGAAAAAAATGTTTTGCTTAATTTTCATTGAATTTCTCCAATTTTTTAGTTATTTATATTTTTTTTTATAAATTTGTCTTGTATTAAAAAGGTTTTATTAAAAATATTTCTACAAAAATTTAAATCATTATACCTATTTGTACCTACAATTTATATTTCTCCCATTTTTTCTCCTATCTTGCCCCCCTCCTGATCCATTGGCTGTCGACCCCCTTGACAAAAGGTGTTAACAATAATAATTAACAGGAATTCGGGACAGACATTGATTTAGTTAAAAAAAAGTGGGTTCATTAAGTACGTTTCATTTTGAAACTTTTGGCCATTTTAAACGTTTGTTTAGTTTTTCTGGGAAAAATGTCTTCTAGCAGTTTGTAATTTTAGTAACTCCATAGATTTGAATGTGTTACAGTCATCTAAACAAGATTCTTGCTATGTAAGCATTATTTATAAAACAAGGCATCCCTTTGTTTTATTTATCTTAATTTACAACTACGAGCAACGCATAACAAATTGAAGCCTTGAACAATTCACCATAAGTATCATGGGAAAGTTTACAAACGTGCAGATCTTGAGTTCCTACCGGATGCGATTTAGGCAAAACTGATGACCGCCTGTCGCTGCTTTTTATGCATTTTTTGTTTCTGTTATATAACTCAATTTGCTTAAGAACCAATAGTGTACCACTTCACGCACGCAGCGTGAATACACCTAGCATTTCCTTGTATATGAAGAATTTAATCGATGGTAGTTATTGTCTGGATAAACTTTCTCGGTTGTGTCGCATTTTGGCAATAACGTATTTAACAAATAAGAAAAAAGAAAGAGATAATACTTTTATGTAGTGTGTAGTGGTGTAATATATGTCTTAGATACAAAAAATTTAAGGTTAATATGATTTAATAACAATAATACCAATTTTTGGTTGGCATGGTGTACTGGTCTTATGTATTATTTGTCTCTTTTTATATCTATCTATGATTTTAGTTTTTCCTTTCATAGAAAAAAGATTTTCTGTTTGCTCTAAGTCATCCTCCACATTTCCTTCTTCATATATTCTTGAATTAAAATATTTATGTCACGCTTATAATATGTAAGAAAAAATATACATATACATATATACAAACATATATACATATATACATATACAAACGATATTCATAAAGTATAGCTCATCTTCATTTTAAGAACTAATAACTCAGCAGGATGAGTTTAGACACAAAAAAATTTATATTAAGACGTAATTTTATAAGATCTATCCAAATGTACACCCTGTATGGACAATTATTTATGTTTCGAGTTTTTTATAATCTTCGAGGCTAAACTATGATTGCATCCTTGTGCCTTGCTTCTTTATTGGCCTAACTAGAATTCAATGTCACAACTTCTTCGTATGCATCGCTATAGGTACGTGCGTAAAATACTTTCACTTAACGGGTCGTCTGTAATTATTAATAGGTAAATTTTGGAGGTCGCATTCGCGGTATTTTGAATTTTGATGGCCACACACCGGCCACGGCCTTCATCTGTTCAAGATCCATTCGCCTATAAAAGGAAAAGGAAAACCGCTGTACGAGGGAAGGTGGAAAAGTAGTGATATTTGACGTTTCGAGTAACATTAAATCATCTTCAGGTTTTCTATGTCAGTGATACAAGCGGAAGTAAATATACCTAGGTATATTCAGCTATTGCAGGAACTTCTATGAAATATCCGTCTCAAAAACATAACGTCATTTTCTAAATAACCGTAATAATATTATTTTCCAAAAGTCCTCTCTAATATTTGTATTCCTTTTTTTCAAAACCATCCGTGCTCGCACTATACGATGTATATTCCAGATGTCTTTTTTGAAGTCCTACCATGAGGATGTCTCGGTTATCTTAAGAGAACCAGTCAAATTCATCAAAAAAATGCGCTTAATAAACAAATGCAATAGCATATACGACAACGTACGCACAAGAAGTGTGGTAATAATAATAATGATCGATTTTAAAAACTGTCTACCTTTTTTCCGTAAAATATATGAAGGAAAATTAATATTTTCAGTTTTTCGTCGATAATTTCAAGATTAAAGAAAAAAATTCTCGTAGGCACAGTATTCGTCATCTACTTCTATGACTTTGCTCTAATTTCATCGACCTTATTGTATCTCTTAATCCCCATTTACGGGTGTTTGGTATAATGGCAACGAATACACCCGTACATTTTATGTTCTTAGTTTGAAAAATTTTTGACAACATGTTTACAACCTAGCAATAAGAAATTATTTGCCTTTGACCATATTCATAGCTTAATTTGCGTAAACAAAGCATTGTATAAACAACGCAATTAATCCTATAAAGAATTATGTACTGAGAAGATATGCAGATCTGACTGCAACCTGTATAAATAATTGTGGCAATAAATATTTATGCAAAAATCCAGAGCCGTACTAATAATTTTGACGCCCTTGCTCTTCATAGTTTGTCAAAATTTAAATGGTAAATATCTCCACCAAATATTAAATAGTGGTGCACCAGATGGAATAAAGTTAGAGACCTTATATTGTATTTGAAAAATTATTTGAATTTAAAATTTGTCAATATTTCGCCGTTAGGTTCCAAGTCACATTTTGTTTTCCAAAATTGAATTTGGCGCCTTTGTAATGAGTATAAATGTGGGAATTTGAATCGACTGTTTTTATTTTCCCTATTAAATTAAAAGTAAATTTCAGTTTACTATGAAATAGTCAAAATAATAATAATAGGTAGGAACTATACTGGTCATGTGGTCAAGTATCGTACTATACAGTACTATACAGTACTATAAAGGGTGTTAATTAAGTATGTTAACAAATTTTAAGGGGTGATTCTTTGAGTGATGAAATAAAAATTAATATTTCTAAAAATAAATGCCAATTATAGTTGAAACATTCAGGGTGTTCTATTTTTAAGATATTCTTTATATCTTGTAGATGTAGATCGAACGAAAGTTTTATATTAAATTTTTTCTGTGTTGTAACGTTGAACATCTCATGTTGTCACAACTTATTAAATTATTATTATGCAGATGATGTCCTAGCCTGAAAAATTCAATAGGATTAGCAATAACAGGTGTTAATTTATAATTGAACATATTCTATACATGAAAATACACTGACACAATACAAGTCATTCAAACACACATCCTATTGTTTACTTTTATGTGTCTTATGACATACAGAATTTTAATGAGCCTTCATTTTTTAACATCTAGATTGTCCTATTTTCCTAATATGTTTATAATTTCTGTCTCTATGGTCAGAGAATTTTACAAGTTAATGAAAACCCTCGCTTTCAGTATTTTTTCATAGCTAAAAAGATTTCCTTGAATACAAGAGAGGGAGAGGTTTAAATAACGTATAGTTTCACCTATTTAAACATATACTAAAGTATGTTATTAAAAGTTAAATTGAATTTTTTTGCAGTAATTTTTCCGACGAGTCGTCTACTCAACAGCAAAATCTACGTTCGTTGAAGCAAGAAATCGCCTTACTACAGAAAGATTTCGAAAATGAAAAGAAGCAAAAAGAAGCTGCGGTTCAAGAAAACAGGTACGATTGCTAACCTCATATTTTACATCCACCACAAATTATATTGTTTTTTTTTTAAGACGGCTACAAAATGATATAGCTAGTGTCGTATGTGACTGTAAAGAAGCGAGGAAGCAACTGGATATAGACCAGAGACAAGTCGACGATTTGAAACGCCAGCTCCAGCATTATGTGGCTGAAGTGAAAAGAACGGAGGATCTTATATCCCAAAAGGTAGAAATTTTTTCTTGTTTTTTGTTTCATACGGCTTAATCTGTCACTAGGAACTCGAAAGGACGGAGATTCTGGACCAGTTCAAATGTTTATCCGAGGAGGCCAACATTTTGGAGAGCAACAACCACACTTTGGAAACGGAGGCCACTCAGTCTAGAGTACAACTGTCTGTTGCCCTGGACCACGCTTCGGACCTAGAGAGGAAACTCGAGAACCAAGACGCCGTTATTCGAAGTTACGAAAAGCAGGTTTTATTTCCTTTATAGGGTTTTAAAGAGGTACTTAACATTTCCTTCTGATTCTAGGTAACGGGTTTGACCAGTCAGGTGGCTAGTTTAGAGATTCAGTTGAAACAGAATAACAACCAATACGACAGACTGACAACCGAGCTTCAACAGATGAAAGATTTGTGCGTGAAGTTGGATCACGAGAGAGATAGCCTTAAGCGAGAGGTACGTGACGGTGAAGACCAGCGTGGAAATGTACGTATAACGGGAGAACGCTGAACGAAAAACTACACGCTTTTGTATTAGGTGGAAAGAAACGTTGATTTCCACATCCGGCAGAACGAGGAATTGAAAAAGGCGTTGGATAAGGAGAGGAACAACTTGGACGGTGTGGAAAAATTGCTGAAAGAGGCTAGGCAAGACATCATAGAGCAGAGGCTCTTGAATCAGGATTTGCAAGGGGAAGTGACGAAGCTGAAGGCTAAGGTTGACGAACTTCAGGAGAGGCTGTAAGTATGTTTAAATTTTGCAGTTTTAAGTGAAAAAATTTATTTGAAAAACATTAGGGAAGTGTGCAGCTGGTATAAACAAATGTAAAAAATACACCAAAGAAAAATTTAAAAAAAAACCTATCACTATTCCAATTTTTTAAAAAGTATATTCGCTGCTGAAAAACTGATTGATTGGATTGAGGCAAGAATTCGTATCTACCGAGCAGTACTATGTAAACAGAATGGGAACGCAGTCTCGGTGTTCCTACTAAAAATCAGACAAGTGTAGGTCATGGCTAGTTCATGGCAAAACAGTATTTTATTCCAAACCATTTTTCAACTTCTTATACAGAGTGTAGCTTTTATGTGGGTCTTATTTATGGAGGCTACATTTATTCTTCAGAAATTCATCTTTTTTCTCAAAATCCGTCATGAAAACTGATTTTTTTTTTTAGATTACATGCAGTCGGTTGATATGAAGCAAAAATTTCAAAAAAATTCTCAAAATGTAATGTATGATTTCCTTCACAAAGTTGGACTTTTTTTTTCGTGAAATTGCGCCCGGTTGAACTTTAAAATCTTTTTTCAACCTTAATTTCCGACCTTTCTGATTTGGTAAAAAAATAATTCTATGTTTCGAAGTAGAAAACCTGTTTGAAAATATTGTGACAAATTTTGGAAGCAATTAGTTAAATCCATCTTTGAATGGTATGTTTCGAGATAATCGCGTTTGAAGTTTGCCAAAAATTTACTTGCTTGGGAACTTGGTCGCTCATCAGCTTCTCGTTAAATCGCCCATAACTTTTACGATACTTGGAATGTCGAGATAACATTTACACATATTATATTCCAAACTTTTTCTTTGGAAAAATCAATTTTTATAAAAAATTCATAATAATTATATATTTTATAATGTACTGAAAAAACTTTTTGCGCCGTTAATCTGCGATTCCTGAACTATAGAGCAGGCTCTCCACAGCACTGGCAGCAACTTCTGCGATCCGTGACTGTTCTCGCTGAATTCTCCCTTCACAGGTCACGTTGTGAGGTTAACAGTATGTACCAGGTTTGGTCGCTGACGCAGCAACTCGGCATTGAAATATTTGACAAACTTGTTCTCATATTTATTTAGCCATACCCACATACAGGTCCGGTCGAACTAAACGTGGAGGTGGTAGAAATGTATACATCCAGTTGAAGAATGTGAGCGCGGGTAAACGAAATCCTAGCACAGCTGCATTGGGCCACTGCGCAATAAATCTCAGCTGTTGACAAGTGGTTGACAAATTGCCCAGCAGTGCAGTGCAGCAATGCGGAATTTGGTGTGATTCAGGTCATTTTAATTTATTATAGGCACCTTCTATTAATCATTCATATTGCAATTGCAAAAGGGAGAAATAAGAGGGATATTTTGTTTACTAATATTATTACATGGCATGTTGGAGACCTTTTGAAACGGAACAAATCGAAATTTACCATCAATAAAATTGTTTGAGAACATAAATAATTAAAATATGCTGTTGGCCAAATGAACATACAATAGAAATTTTCTACATATTATTATAATTTTTTACCTTTAGCAGAAAAAATGTTGCGCATCCTGATCTCATAATGCTGATTAGTGTTTCTTCCTATCTTAATGCATTCCAATAAATCCTTCCACAATTATTGGAATTTCAATTTGAAACTAACAAAACTAAAAAAAATTGAAAAAACGTTTTTTCTACTCAGATATTCCCTTTTACGAAATTCGACCTCAATTTTAACGCTGTACGCTTTCCTAATTTTTTTCAGATAAGTTGCGAATCACTTTTTATATACTGGTTAATTTTTTTGTGACACAGTAAACGGATTTTTGTTTTTTGTTTTTCCAGAGTTACAACTTCTGAACAATTAGACTTATTCCAAGAAAAAGCTTTAGAGTATAGTCAGCAGAATAAGCAACTGCGTAGGGAAATCGCAAATGAACGTTTTTTTAGGGCAAGGGAGGATGAAAATAAAAGATATCCATCGCTCTGATTCAAAGACAATTTTAATTTTATGTACACTATTTCGATTGTAATTTTATTAATTTATTTTTTATATTCTTTTATAGATTAAATCATTGCAAAGGAAAATACATTTGTAGACAAGATCCCAGTTATCCCTTGCCTTAGAATTTCCACTTACCAAGTCATTTGCTGTTTTGACGTGCATACATCTATGAATTTTGTAAAATGTAACAAAAACATGAAACGATCTTTCTGCTTGTATAAAAATATACATAAAGTATTTTTGCCATTGATGGGCAAGAAGCGTTTTAAAAATATTTTACAGAAATTAAAGGAAGTGCATTATCATTTGTTCATCTCTTGACATAATATTTTCTTGTACAGAATCCCAGTAAAGCCTGCAAAACTGCAAGACACCAAAAGTGCTGTCGTTTCAAAGACCTGTTACAAATTTTGTAATAAGGATAAGTGCCCTGCAGCCAATACGTCAAAAATTACGAATACAAAACATTTACCTATACTTCGTCAAAACGAAAACCCTCCTCCCAGTCCACAGAGCTCGTACTATGAATTTTGCAAGAAGTCCAGCTGCACGATTCATAAAAAACCTAATAAACAGCGAGTAACCACACAAATTGAGGAGCGGGGAAGCTGTAAGAAGATTTATCCGCTTTTAAAGAAATTCCGTGAAAAGAACGACGGACGTCAAAAACCAAAATGTGTTTGCAGTTGTACGCAATGTCACTTTAGACATCAATTGGACAAGGACGCTTCACACAGCGACGATGACAGTAAAACGTATCCTGGTAACACGGATCTGTCCTTAAAATATTCTTTGTCCCCAACCAGGTGCACCCGAAGGTCCTTACAAAGCAAAGAGAAAATTGCAAAAACAATTTCAAGCTCCAGTCAAGATGAACTTTTGAGTATTTCTTCATGTAGCACTGCGAGAAGTACCAAAAGGGAAAATGTCAGTACAGGTTCCTTTAAGAACAGGTTGACTGTAGAAGTACCTGGTTTGGAATGCTGCATATCCAGTAATAAAGTGATAAAATCGAAGCTCTTGTCACCTTGTCGTAAACAGTAGATACATTTTAAGCATATTTTATAATAAACTTTATTTCAGACGACGTAGATTATTACCACTATAAAATTTGCAAAGGTATGTGCTATGTTTAATATCTGCGGATTAGCAGGTTGCTCTCCGTCAGTTTGGTCCTTCGAAGGCCTGGACAGAGTAGCAGTGACCATTCTGCAATGATGCCACATTTAGTTCATTTTAATCCGTTCATCTAGACACTTGACAACAACTCGATTTTAAATCACCTTGTCGATCCTAAAGGATTTATGCGATGCGTTCCATTATACTTGGTGATCTTAATAATCTTGCCAGACTGGCGATGTATATTTATAGTTAACCAGTCAAACTTAGAAATGAAAATACTAGATGGACAATTTTTACACAGGATATACAGGGTGGCCCAATTAAAACAGTCCACCTGAAGTATTTTCATTGCAACAGGTTTTTCAGGAAAACCCTGAAACAGGTCGATTTTGCTTTCAAGATCCGTCCATTTAAGATTCTTGAAGGGGTTGTCATCCCGTTTAGGGGGATGACCCTGCATCCATGAATTTATGGTCAAAATATGTTTCCCTTGAAAGCAAAATCGACCTGTTTGGGAGTTTTCCTGAAAAATCTGTTGCATTGAAAATATTTCGGGCGGACTGTTTCAATTGGGCCGCCCTGTAGAAATGGTAGATGAGAAAATTGTTAACTAAAAAAGCTTTATTTAACATAATAGTATTACGTTCTCCAATTACAACTAGTTATAAATTTATCAGTCATGTGGTATTAACAATTGTACAAAAGGGACTTACAACTACTATTTGCGTAAAAAATGAAACAATAAAAATATCGATATGTCTAACGAGACAAATAACCAAATACATTTCTTTTTCTATAAAAAAAAAACATCAATTAAATATCAAAGTTATGTACAACAATGTTCAACATTTATCAATAAATAAAAAAAAAACGGTCTACTAATTGCCTTCTATCGAAAGAGGGTCTGATTTCATTAGGTCTGGCATTACATTCTGCAAAGAAAAAATTGGAATTAAAATATTGACTATACAGGGTGAGTCATCATAAGTGTTTCCCTTTAAATTTGCTTTTTTGAGATATGAGAAAGTTATAAGAACTTTTGATATAATTGATTATATCATTTTTTTTCTTTTCTGAAAGAATAACGGAAAAAACCGAGTAAAATTCAATTTTTTAAATACTTTATAAAAAAAACAGCTTTTGGAAAATATGAATTTTTTTTGTATTATTCACTTACGAATTAAAAATATTAGCCTACCTCAATTATTATAGGGGTCCCCATCTCGATGTTGCTATAAGACACACCGATGGTCCCCTGAACCTCATGATGCGTCTGTTGCTGTTGGTGCTGCTGTTGTTGCTGTTGCTGCTGCCTTGCCAGTTCTTCCGCTTCCCTACAAAAATACACCGTGCTTAATAAAGGCAAATGCCAAAGCGTAACCGATCTTACTTTCTCTTCTTAACCGAACCCGAATGGAATCTACCTCCCTCGCCTCTTATCCTATTCATGGCATGCCTATGTCTGGATTCATGGAGGTATTTCTAAAATTCCAAATATCAATAGATACAGAACTGTTTTCAAAATAAGACTTGAAATTTTACTTTACGTAGCGCCAACGTACCGGTCTTTCCTTGGGTATTTTCCCCTCGGCTTCTAATTTAGCACGAGCCTGTCTTCTTTTAAGTATCCTTCTGTACTGCTTTGCATTCACGTATAAGGGTTCTTCTTCTAGGAATTCTGTACCGGGTATTTGTACTCTTTGGAACTGCTGACCGCTTGTGCTTGGTACCATCTTCAAGAATGAATAGTAATATATTTTTATTACATAAAATCAATACAGAAAAAATCAACAAATAATTCATCTTCATTTATAAATAATATCGACAGTTTAACGTAAAGTGAAAAAAAAAATCCGTGAGAAGTCTACTCCCTAAAGTGTGCCAAAGCCAATATTCTTAAGTCAGATGTCCCGTTGTTAAAAATTTTATCGTACTATAAATTTCACACAACCCATTTTATTGAAAAAAAATTCATAAAACAAAACAATGATCGCATTGAAATTTGACAAGCAGTGTGTCGTCACTACTGAACGTTATGAGGCACAGCACAGTCATCTGTTTCTACCATGGCTAGGCAGATTTCTAGTACTCCTCAAATATTAATAATTATAACCAATCACAAACAGTAAAAACGATTCTGGTACTAAGGTAAGATATGAACACATCACAGTTAGTAAATTATAAAAACAATATTTGAGAAATTATTTTAAATATTTACTATTTTTGTTTAGATAAGAAAAGAAACAAAGTAATTCCTCAAACATTGTCGGTGTGTTACGTACATCGGTGGCACTTCTCACCATGACTATATTTCCGTTAGCCATAGCTAGTTGATTGGGGGATACCGTCGTCAACGTTTGAGGTACCACCTGTTGCGACGTGGGTGAAGCTACCGTTGTTTGTGTTACGGTATTATTAGTTGTAGCGGCTTGCGGAGCACCAGCTATTTGTACGAGATTTCCATTTATGTTCAATACTGTAAAATATACATATTTTGTTTGGATCTTTAAGGAATAGGTTACAAATACGTATTTGGCGTCAACCTACTGCTATAAAATATCCTATATTTCACCTCATAGCCACCGCTTACCTGTTGGTGTGGCTTGTTGTATGCCACCGCTATCTATGGTCATTGGATGGTATATAAATGTCTGGCCGTCTGCCGTCTGTACAATTTGAGCTGCTTGTTGTTGTGGCTGCACCAATACCTGTCCCTGTTGGAGACTACTAACTGGCACAACCTGTATCTGTTGAAGTCCCTGCGCACCTCCTGGTGCTGCCACCTGTATTTGACCACCAGGCGGTACTGTGTGTACCATTATCTGTTGGCCGTTGGCACCTTGGATCACCTGGCCTGCGTTCATCTGCATAACTTGTACCTGTTGAGGCGCAACACCCTGTATGGGTTGTATAACCACTTGCCCGTCGGCTGTTGTGGCTATTTGTTGTTCCATTTTTTAGTGATGTTAATAATAAGAGAGACACTGAAAATGAAATATCAATGACATACATTTTTATGATGCACACAATGCAAAATTGGGATTCATAGATAAGTAATTTGATGAGTCACAAATTAAATCGTATGAATTTGGCACACACAACTACTACACCTGCAACAACTGCATTACTTATCCAAATTTAACTGGATAGTATTCATGTTGGTTTTGATACCACAAGTTATTCAAATGGAAATGGACTGACAACAATTTCTAGGGTCTATAGAGGGAGTTATTGCTTTTTGATGCCAATTCCAATATTTTTTACTCTAAAAACTCAAAAACCTTTTGTTATTACTTAGCCCTAGAGAGATCTTTATTGGGGGATGAAAAAAATGCTTAAAACGTAAAGTATAAATGTTTTCTTCAACTAATAAGTTCCTTATAAAAGGTTTAGAAATTATCCTTTAAAAATGGTATGGCTCCCAATTTTCATTATTAAAATATGATCATTTCTTTTGCTCAAAAAAATATATTGATAATTTTTTGATACCACACATTAATGGCGTAACACATAAAAAATAGCCACGATAGAAAGACACTAATATTTCTATATTTTACTTTTATTGTTACTTATTTTTGATCAATTACACTTAGTCCTAAAAAATATAGAAATAGTGAGTTTTCTATAGTGGCTATTTTTATGTATTGGTCTTAGTCAAATGTGACGTTAGAACAAAATGTCGGATATTCTTGTGAAAGAATACATTTCAATTTCAATTTCTTGTTTTCTTCAATATCATCAGTAAGGAATCTTGTCCAAATATCTTTGTATGTCATTCTTTATTTAGTATCGACGATTTTTAAAAAAACTTTTGAATTTATTTTAATTATAGCTTAACATCTTTAAAATAAACAGAAAGACACCAATTTCTGGTAAACGATTTTTCATTTAAAATCTATTTAGGAATATTCATCAATATCGAAAGCAAATAATTATCTAGTTAAATAACCTTGAATGTTGAGTGATTATCAGTTACAATTACATCATATTGTAAGTTATGCATACAACTCATAATAACATATTAATATCTGGCTCTTCAAACTGGAATGTATGATAAATATGAAGTTAATTGTGTTATAGATTTTTTCCCAATAGTTATTAGAACACGATATTGGTAAACGTTGTAGTACTGTGTACTGCAGTTTTATTTTAATAAATTGGGGACACCTTATTACTGAATTAGACTACATTTTGTTGTACATTTCCAATGAAGCACAAGCCCATAACAACACGGCATGAGCCGTCGTTTTACACGAATTAGGAATGAAGTCTCGACTGGCCTTTGCGCCTTTGTCCGTGACGTTCGCCATTACAGTAGAGTGCCACGAAGTTGATGCGTTGGGCCATGTAATTTTTCCGTGATGAAAAATAAATAATTGTTGTATTCCCTCAGTTGAGATCCGAATGCAGCATAGAATATGTTTGATAATTTGTGAACTTACATTGGATATTTTACTGTGCACTTTCCCAATGATTGGTCGGCAAATTGTAGACCAATGGTCGCGACGCACTACACACAAACACGGTACGTATTGGTTCTATCCGCTACCACTCCCTTAGCAGCAAACAGCGGTCGATGCCCCATCCGCTTATCGACGCGCTAGAACTTTACAGGCGCGGGAAACTAGCGGCCAATTACAAAAGTAGAAAAGGAAAAGTGACTTAAATATGTTTTTAAGAACATAAACTCTCAACTGCCAATTAATGGTATTTTTAACAGAAAAATCACTTTTGGCACTTACTACTAGATACTTCAAAATATTTACGTAATATAAGGATAAAATCGAAATATCTTTTAAATAACTAGCACATTTTAGACAAAAAAGAAACGATGCTACAAATATAATACTTTTTAAATCTACTTGAAGGCAAGTTTATATGTATTTATGAGAAATTTATTTTTTGGATATGGATATAAAAAGCATTTGATTTAAAATTACTCTACTAAAATCTTAAATGTTAACCCATCTAGTTATATCTGAACGCACTTATTTTAAAGTTAAACTTATACAGGAAACTGTAATTAATAACACTACTATCTCACAGATGGTAGCATTTTTTGCCTCGTTCCTCGAGCGGCACTGTATTCCTAAATAAATCCAGGAATATGTCACGCATATGCCAAGTAGTATATCACAAGAAGAATTTGAAATTTTAACAAAAAAAACTTTTTCAGGTTTTCAATTTTCTACATAATGTAACATATATTCGAAATAATTTTAAAAAGCATAGCATAGGGCGCCATCTATGTATAAAGAGCTGAATTAACGTTCCAGTGAATGAGAAGTTACAGTTGACTACCCATTGAGTAATTCTCCAGTAGTTCAGTGCAGTTTCTGACTGATAGATGGCAGGGCATTAAATTATGGATCATTCCGTTTCCCTAATTGAAAAAATCATTGAAACCACTTGGACCTATGTATTTCTAACCTAATAGCACAAAAATTGTAAAAATATTACAGTTACAGAGACTTTCTAGTGGCGGTATCGGACGCAAGGTTGTTGCAACGTCTGTATTGTCGGTTTTCGTGCAAACGCTCTCGTTAACGAAAAAAATCGAAAATCTTAAAAACTGGGGTAGCTAGAGAGGAACTGAATGCAGTTTTGGAGTAACGAGAGCTGTTACAGTCCACCGGAATTTTTTCAATTTTTCTGAAATCTGTTTAAACGAGTTACTGAAAATTTTCTAAAGCACGCCAGTATTTAAATACCAGTTTGTCACTAATATATCTAATTTTTAGTAGATTTAATGTAGATTAATTATTTTTGCAATTCTTTTAACCATATGCTTTTGTACAAATCAACTTTTAACTAAACTTACCTTATTCCCAACTTGCTTAATCAGGTGCTAGAGGGCGACAGAGTTAGCAAGAAATTAACGGCGTTATTTTGCTTTCATAATATCCAATTTTTCTAAGGCATGAAGTGTTTCGATACTTGTCATTGTCGTTATAAATAATTAACAACAGATCTATTAAAAATAGGCTACATTTGAGCAGTTGCGTCACAAATTATGATAATTATTACCCATGGTGGAGAGCGCTCAAATTTTAATAAAACTTTGTCTAACACCATTTTTTGCAGTTAAATTTAATACATAATTATACTCAAAACTATTTAGAATACTCCTTATTCAACCGAGTTCAAAAAATTTAAAGCAAAATTTCCAAATTCTGATAATTCTTTTTTTGCAATGACATTTCAAAACCTATTTCAGATATTTTCTTTATACAAGAAAGTTAAAAATTAGTTGTTTACCAATTTTGTAAAATAAATTAAGTTTCACATCTAATGGTTCTTCTACTTCTTATAGTTTCCGAGATCCTAATACATCTATCACCAAAATGGCCGACTTGGTATGTGATCTCCACAATTTTATGAATGATAATTTCCCAGTAGTTTTAAGTTTTGAATTGTTTTTAAATTAATACTACGATTAAGCCTTGAAAAAACTTTATTAGTGCAAAAACACCAAGTGGTTTTGCTACGCCCCACAAGTGTGTGTCTACACCAGTAAAGACATTTTTTGACAAAAAGGCAACATTAATTCATATAGAGAAAAACATACTAAAATATTTAATAAAATCCTATGCAAGCTTTTACAGTTATAAATCTATGTTACATGCAGATAGTCTATTTTACATTAAGTTACAAATATTATTATTTCAGGCCAAATCACAATTAATATCTATCTTTCGAACAACATCGACAACTGATTTGTACGAACATGAAACATTTTAGTTTAAAAAATGGAGATCTGCGTTAAATAATACAAACTTCAAATTATAAAATCTTAAAAATAACCGCAACATCGAAAGTAAATTTAATATTAATCCAAATTACGAAACATCAGGATCCCCATTTATTAAACCGATTATAATTATCTTGGTCCAACTAACAATTTTTTGTGGCAGGTTAATAATGCAGTCAGTATGTGCAGTCAAAATTTAGAACATATTATTCTGAATGTCCCGCAATTTGAAAGCAATGAATCGGGAATTCAGAAAATATGGACGTCTTACAAAAAATCACACACAAGTTATGTACCCTGCTAATGTTTACAAGTTTACCACAGACAAACATAATTTTATAAAACTACATTTTACAACAAACGTTAATAGCCGGGATTTACATAAATTAACTTCTCTTCAGAGCAATGCCAAATAAATAATATCTTTTAATAAAATCGTTTATTATCAGTAAGCCATTTCTACTGTTGAAGCAGTAGCTTCTATTGCACACGATAACTGTAACGTTACTTTGTAATATGACAGAAATTCATTGTCGATAAAGTGAATATATAAAATGAATCAAATGTAAAAATCTAAAAAGAACATCTACTTCATTTGTTTGGACCTCGTGAAATTCCATAGAAAAAAATTTTTTAATGGTGCAACTGTGGAGAAAGAGCTTAAACGACTTTTTGTCTCCACTAAACTCCTTAAACTTAAAGTTTTATGTACATTTGATCCATCTTTATAAACATCTGTACTTTTTAGAATGTGTAGATTATTTTAATTAAGTCATTTATGATTGTTTTCAGCACGAGTTAAACTTTTTTATAATTAAACATCTGGACTAGGTCAATTTTTCACAAATCAATCAGTATAAAAATTAGATATGACTTGAAGTGATTTAATGCATACTCCTATGGTCCCTGAAATTATATTGGCAAGTTACAGTTCCACACGTTTTAATATGATCTATAAAAAATTGACAAAAAATATTTGCTAACAATGACGCCATTAGCAGTACCGAAAGGAAAAGGTTAAATGCAGGACCAACATCTTTAACTCTATTTTCTAATTAATATTTCATGAAATATATTTAGAAGCATATCCTTTAAAGAGTGTTTCAGTAAAATTACTTCCAGTACGCAACATTTTTTTTTCTGAAAGAAATAAAGATATTTAAAAATGGTGTAAGCCATGTGTTTCATTTTTTAACATGCAATTTTTTTTAGTCTATTCCTTTATTAAAGATTGCACTGTTGTAACCGTAATAAAATTGAAATATACGTCACTCAAAAACTTCTATTGCAGGATAACAATACAGTTTGGAATGACTTTTAACAAACATTTTTGTATATACAGGCTGTTTCATAATGATGTGCAAATATTTTAAGGTGTTTAAAAAGTAATTCTAGGGAGGGTACTTCCAATATATTTTTCTGATTTGAGCCCACCTGAGAAAATATTCAAATCTCGAAATGTTTATAACAATTTGATAAAAAAAATAAAAACTAATTTTTTCGAACATTTTGAGAATTGAATATTTTCTTTGGGGGGGGGCTCAAAATGTAATGGAAGTACCCCCCCTACAATTACTTTCTAAACACCATAAAATATTTGCACATCATTATGAAACACCCTGTATATCTCTTTCGACGATCGATCTACTTTATTGTGTGACGGAAGAGATTACTGCTTTAATTTGCATTTAATCAGAAAATCAGTTATAAAAACTATGTTAATTTTGGTAAACGTGATATTCGGTGGTTAGGCGTACACAAGCAGAAATTTTACTGAAACGTTTTCTAATATCATATAATATAATATATAAATTTGTCTCTACAGATTGTCTAAATACTTTTAATTGGGAAAATTTATGTGCAAACACCTTGAGAAAATTTGTAATGTTAATAATGTTTATTGAAAACAGCTATGACTGACATACACTATATAAATATGCTTATAGGAAACAGCAGTGTTAATTTTTATTAAAAAATTATTATTCTATTTTTGTACTGAAAAATACAGTAAACAACTCCGATGAAAAGTATAAAATTCTAATGCTAATGGATTTTTTTACACCGATTATCACTTGTTATATCAATTTTTAATAAGTATATACAAATTTCTCTTTTTTTTTTAAATAATTTAAATGACATTTCCAAGTGCTGTTATACTAATGAACATAAAATTATTTTATCAACAATATCTCGAAACGTTCAAATAACTCATTTCTAGTTGAAAATGTTTGCTAATAGGATATTTATTAACTATTAAGGCCTCTATGAAATACGTAAAATCTGCAGACGTAATAATAATTTACTTCAATTGTTGAAAAAAGAAAAAAATTAATTTTTTATACAATAAAACTATATACAATGAATAAATATATATATACATTCACTTCTAACAAATCTTTTTGTACTATCATCATTTTGTAGTTGAAGGGAGATGTGAAAAAATCCATTAAGATTATTCGAACAATGAAAACACCAAAAGTAAAATTCCGACAATCCATGGTTGTTACTTAGTTAATATAATATACAATAACTACTAAATAGCCTATCACCATTTAATTTGGTGCCGAGACACCCTAATTAGCTAAAATATTGACATGATTCTACACCAGTCTTGTGTAACTCTAATATAATAGTTAAATCTATAAAACGCTACGATAACCCCACCGCAGCCTAAAAAAAATAATATACATATATCGCTGCAAACTTCCAGGAAGCCGAATGCAATTTTAAAAAATTTAACTGCGGAAATGTTACGGTAACGTTTAGAATTCTATTCTGTAGTGCAGCCTTTAGATCATATAGTAAAAACCTTAAATATTTGTTATATTTTATATTGGAAGTGATTATTGATTTTTTTTTAACCTATTTTTTGATATCATTGAAGAAGTCGATCAATATAATGCAAAACAGAATCAACTACAACCTTATAAGCGCTTTTCTATATATGGTAACTAATATTATAAATATAACCAACCCAGCGATATATACATACAAATAATAAAAGTAGTGTAGGAAAACATATTTTTTTGTTATCGACGAATTCCGAAACGTTCTGAAAAATGGAGGTCTCTAAAATTATGAGGTAAATTTCAATTATTGTGCTTTTTATTTTGATATAACCTTCAAGACCAGTTAAAAATATACTTCTGATATAGGGGTAAACCCGTGATTAATATACACTTTTTTTTTCAATTTTTACGTAGTTTAATTAGAAACGTGCAAACAAATACACAAGTAGTGTCATTAATTCTCACTTATTTGTTTTTAACTAAATTATAACCCAGAAGCAATAGACGTGCTATCGTGAACGAATAAATGTGCTACAAAGAGACCGGCGAGTCTTTCGTGTAAGACAAATGCAAAAAAATTGAATCCCAAATCCGGTTTAATGAAACGTTTATTGCAAGTCCCAGTTTCTTTTTTCCTAAACGCGAAACACATTTCGAATAGGTCTGAAATTCTCGCTAAATCAGTTTTAATTCTTCCTGATTAAAATTCCTATCGGGACAAACTTTTTGAAAAATATCCCACACTTGAACTTAACTCTCGTTCTCTCTCGAATAATAAAACATGATAAATGATTTCTACGATACAAGATAAAATTTGCGTAAAACAAGCCGTTATATACACGAAGTATGTCAGGTTATATAATACTGCGGATTATGAAAATAAAACCGTAAGGGTAGTACGACGATTAACATAAAACTGTAAACCCCAAGCATCCAGTCTTTAAAAATTAATCGATAAGCAAGAGAATACAATGAGAAAAGCAATTCGATGATTAAACTTTGGCGACTACACTAATTCGCTGTTACTTCTTGTATGTTTAAATATTTAGTATGTAACCCTGTGCATTATTTAATTAAAGGAGAGCCAAACAATCAAATCTATGAGACTTGTAAGAAGTCTAAAATTACTAATATTGTTCTCTTAATAAGGCGATTATAATATTTAAAACTAGTCGAAGCAGGCAGCGAACGTTCGGTCAGATTTTAAAAACGTTTTCAAATTCATTCATGGAATGTACAATTTTTTAACGTAGGGCGAATATTTCAGTTTAAAATTTCGAAAAAATCCGTTCAATGGTTTAAATTTACTTTCAGACGTGAACATTTTTTTTAATACGACCGAAGACCCATACCCGCTTCAAAGAAAATATGTTACAAAAGAATAAAACAATTTAGATGATCACAGAAAGAAGATCTTTAAATCAACGTTAAAAATATGTACAAATGTGTTGATTAGAATAAAAACGATGTGCTTAAAGGAACTAAAAATTATGAAATTCTATACATTAACATGCATATTCAATATCTGGACAGCTTTTTATAGAGAAAAAACTACACGTAGCGAAAAACACCTGATTATTATTTGTATTATCATTAATTACCCGAAAACTACGCTAGACAATCCAAAAATATTATTTGTTACATCTACCATCTATCTAACTCTATCTATCTAGAGTTAAAGGTATAATGTACCTTCTATCTAAACAAAATATTTCGGGAACCTCTCGAGAACTCTTTTACACCATTTTTTTCTCATCCAGGCTTAAATTTCTCCACCCCCTAATTATGCGTTTTGTCTTTAATAAAACTAGCATGCTTCAGTCTGCCGCACTATTTATTGTCGAATTTCATATTATTTCAAGTGCTATTTAACCGCAAAATTTATAGTCGTTAACTCGCTAGGCACCCAGAAAATTTGAGAAAACAAATATATACATAAAGGCGAAGTGTTGAAAATAAAAAAGAAAACAAGAGTACAAAAGCGTAGAAAAAAGTTCTTTTAATTTGTTAAATTTCAAGTTCAAATTTGGAGATTCGAGTCTCAATACAAAATTAAATTTGGAATTTGTTCTTGCTCTTTCCTTCATTTTCAAACAAATTTGAAATTCCATGATCAAACTTGTAATTATGAGATTTTAACTCGAACTATCAAATTCAAACTCAAAATTTCAAATACAAACTTTGAGAAAATTCAAGTGTCAACATGAAATTTTAAAATCAAAACTTAAAATTTTAAATTTGAACTCGAAGTTTTAAATTCAAACTCAAAATTTCTTGCTTACAATTAATTAGACTTGAAATTTCGTGAATGAGTTCACATTCAAAATTTCAAGTTTAAATTTGAGGCTGATTGTGAGTTTTAACAGGAAATTTCAGTTGAATTTGAATTTCCCGTTTAAATTTCAAGTCCAAACTTGAAATTTAATGTTTAAATTCAAAATTTTATGTTTAATCTCGACATATTATGCTTGATTTCAAGACGTGATAGACAATAAAAAATAAACAATAAACATAGGCCCTTTCTATATTTTCATAAAAAGTAGCTATACTCTTGAGACAAAAAGATTAAATTTTGTAGAGATGTGCCGCGGGCATGTCAGCTGGACATGTCGTGAAAAGTGGACATGTCCTGAGGACTTTTGAAAAGTTGTATGTGCATGCGCGGAATTATTTGTTGGATTCATAATTCCCGCAAAAAATGTTTGAGGTTGGTACATGTAAAATTAGATATTTAGCCATTTTCTTGTAATTTTGTTGGCAATTGTTTAACTGAAACTGACATTTTAAAAATATAACCTCTTTTGTATGTCCATTATTTGTTTCTGGCAAAGTTAACGATTAGTAAATAGTAATCAGTCGAGTCTTAATTTAATATTGAATACACAAATAGTTTATAAATGAAGTATGACGCTCGAAATCAACAGTTTCGTTATATTTTTCTAAATTGAGTAAAAATCATTATAAATGTAACTTCTGCTCAAAAACAATTTTTAAAAATTCCAGTAGGATGGAAAAACATTTAAATAAGTGTCCTGGGAAAATTAGAAACGAGTTTATAAAAAATAAAGGTAGGTAATAAGTAAAATATATCGACACATATTCATTAGAATAACAGTAATATTTTGCTTTGTGTTTTCATTGACATCTCCAGACATTTCATCGACATGTCCGTAACACTTTTCCAAAAAGTGCCCATTTCTAAAATTTTGCAAGCCAACTGCAAAATTACTGAAAATCAAAAGCGAGAGTGCCGCATTTCCATAACACGAAATATCAGTGCCGAGTTTCACCTATTTTTTTAATTTTTCTCGTTCGATGCCCTAAAATTGGTGTAAAAGTGTTAACGAGCTCCCCGAATATTTAGGCAATATATTATATACAATTAAAATGATTAATTTCATTAAATATCACAACTATATATTCCACAACTCTATTGACGCATATATCCCTGTTAAAAACACTTAAAGACAATTAGTGCATAGTTCTTCTTAAACGTCAAACATAGAGTGTACAAAGGATCATTACATTTACAGGCACATCAAATATTTAAAAAATGCTCTCTAAGTTGCTCAAGTTGCTAAAACGAATCAGTAAGTTTACTAAATTTCAATAAAATCCCAGTTCCATATTGACTAGCTATTACATTTTCTTTAATTATATTCGTGTACAGAACACGATGTTTCAAATATCATTTTTTTAATATTCACCCTCAGATATTGAGAGGTACACAAAAACGTATATTCAAAAGATCGCCAACTGTACCACACTAAAAACTATCCCTCAGACGCCTTCCGACGTAAATAAATTAGTACAACTCGACAAATAATCATTTATAGCTTGATCCGTCTCTTAATTTAAACCAATTACATAACAAAAATGCACTTAGTGTGTAATATATCTACTGTCACCTATGCGTTTTCTGTTTTTTAAATGAAAAGAATCGAGCGAAATAAATATATATGTACTTACAGCGTAAAAAGTCAAATCTCTTAGGTATTTTTTTCTAGGCTCTCCGTTTTCATCTCCGAAACGCTTCGACGTAGATGACAGCGTCAGCTAAAGAAATATATTAGGGAAAAATACATATATACAAAATTAAAAACTAAATCAATAAAATTATTATCAGTATTACCTCTACTTGACTAAAATGCTAACAATATATTCACCGCGGGGCGGTGAAACTTTTGATATGAAGGCAGTATATAAATATGTAAGTTTTGCGGTTTACAAATTAAACGAATAGATGCTGTTATAGAAACTATTCTAAAATATTTTTAGATGTGTAGATTAGAAACATCACCTAATATTATATGTACAATTGAAACATTACACATGTAAAAACATATTAGATATATATCCAAGTTCTGATAAACTTAAAGGAAACTACTAATACACCCATTTCAATACAAATTAAACACATAAAACGATAATATGAGCGATAAAATTACCCTTAAAAATTAAGTTTTAACACAGACCAATAATAGACAATACAGTAAGACAAAAAGTTATTTTCGCAGGCATAATAGAAATTAGGTTCCTCTTAAACACAAAAAAAAAATTACAAAACCTCCAGCTAATTGCACGAAAACTATCTACCTCCCATAATAACATTGCATAAAATAATTAGAATAAACTTGTTGGTTGTTAAATTCTTAAATTAAAAAAAACACTGACACACAAACACAAAAAAAAGTTTAAAATCGATATGCAATATTACACCGAACTGAATACGTAACAGCGAAAACAATCAACATCAAAAACAAATTGGAGTTGTTGAGCTTGTTCCAGCTTTAACCCACCAATTTTACTCTGTTTATTTTTTTATTCCGTGAACCACACGCTCGCCGGCTGGTACTGGTGGCTCTTTGCGGGGCTCAGTGGTGCGAACCCGTACGAGGCAGCTGCCACTTGGGCGTGAGACGGAAACTGCATGTGTGCCGGTAGAGGATGAGCGGCGTGACTCGCCAGCACTGGTCGTGCGCTGGAGTGGTGAGCGGGTGGTGGCGGCAGTGCACGGCTGTCGAGAAAAAACGTATTTTCATTTTTACGCTTATTAGTAGGTACCCCGTGGAGCACCATATCCTCCATTATTCTTCGGGATAAGAAAAAATTGAAAAGATATGTTCAGACACAAGTAATGTAACTTGAATATTACGTGTAGTGTGATACTGAGAAAAAAAAATTACGAAAGTAAAATTCTTTTAATACATATGCAGCAAAGACCTTGAAATATAATATGCGTTTTTTTTAATGAAAGACCCATTAATTATATTTTTACTTATTTGGATTGAATAATTTAATAAAAGTGTAGATCCCTAGATCTGGGCGAGGTTCGGAACATTTTCAAAATTGTTAAAATGCTAAAAAATTTTAAAATTTTTTATCCGAGTTTTTTACATATATCTTGGAACCTATGCATTTTGGAAGAATATTGAAGAGGAAAAAAGTTTTAGAATTGAATTTTGCACCATATACGGTATGTTAAAAATGTTTAAAATTATTACTGATGTTGCAAAATAGCAATAATTGATGAAAAAAGGTAAAATTATCAAGTTTTTTGGATATTTTTTTTTTTGCAAAAAAACATTAAATTCGAATTTTTACAGCTTGATTTATTTACTTTACAAATAAATATCTTCTCCAAGCTTTTAAAAATTATGAAATCCAATGCGCATTTGTTTTCACATTAAATCTTAGAAAATTTATAGTTTCCTATAACTTGTGACTTTACACTTTTTGCCTAAAATTAAAAATAATGGAGAAAATGGGGCTTATTAATTGTGGTCCAAGCTGTACATAATTATTTTGAAAAATTAAATATTTTAAATACAAGATATAACAATTAAAAATAAACATACTGGTGTAATATTTCACCGATAACATTTTATCAGTAATTCTTGGACCAAAAATAAGAAAAAAGGTTCATATGATTGCAATTAAATTTTTGATAAAATTTTATAAATTTTTCAGTAATTTTCATTTGTTTTACATGTTTATTGAGTAAACCTAGTAAAATAAATTACATTCAAAATTTCTTTAAGGAGCGACGGAGTATACTGTTTGAAATAATCTACAGGTTATAATCCAATAGGCAGATTTTTTTTATTGTGAATGCACCGACTCTTTTAGGAAAAGATAATTTTTCTATTTTATCTCTTAATACTATGAGCCAACAATGTTTGGAAGATATTTATCAAACATGATTAGTATGTACACATTTTAATGTTGCTCATTGATATGGCCTTTAGGTTGGTGTCTAAACCGGCCAGCTAATCAATCTACCTACCAGGAAACAAATAACAAAAAAAAAATAACTGAAAAATATATTAAAACTTTACCAGGAAACAAATAACAAAAAAAATAACTAAAAAATATATTAAAACTTTATCATTGTTTACATTAAATTACATTATCCCAAGGGCAAATAAACACTTGGCAGGCGCAAAAAAATTAAATGAATCTAAAACTTTTTTCTTATTTAAGGGGGATAGCCAGTGATGGGTGAAAAAAATTTTCTATATCTCTATATATCTCTATATCTTCGAATATACACTAGGCACAGAAATTAAAGGGTATTAAAAAAATTTTGGGTGATTTTCAAAGAGCTGTAATTTGGGGAGAAATGGTCGTAGAGAATAAAAAAAAGGAAATCGAAGCTTCAACTGTCTAGTTTTCAGAACTGCAGTTTTTAATTTTTTAGCGTCTGCAGTTTTTGAGTAATCATAAGAAAATCAACGTAAAATTTTTTTTGTATATTTTTGTTTTTTTAAAAATGGCCTGTGGACTTCAAAAAATTTTTTTTGGTAATTTCATCATAAAGCTGTTTTAGATAATTTAATTCTCTTCAAGTTGAGCGGTTTCGGAGCCTTGTATGATTATTTGTCGCCGAGTTATTGTTGATCAAAGCAAAAACATCATTTTTGACTTTGGGGCAATCAATTACTCGGGAAATAATGGTCGTACAGAAAAACAAAACAGGCTTTTGGAAACTGCAAAGTATTCTCTACAAGTCGAAATTATGGGTTTTTGATAAAAAAAAATTTTTTCAAAATGAAAATGGTTAGAAAAAAGGTAAAAAATTGCATAATTAGGGACATTTGAATAACTTGGCATAACTCTGCAAATAATGAATAAACTAAGGATATCATCTACTGTAACTTTTCAACCTCAAAGTGTCCTAAAGAAACCCTGATAATTTCAAATTGCTGCGATTTTTTTCCCTAGTGTCCGGAATGTTTAAATTAAAGTTAAAAATGTTTTTAAAATTAAAAAAAACGATCTCCATATTCTTTAATTTTCCCAGTCAAAAAAATTCACAAAAATGGCTCACTTTTTCGACCATCGCAGTGGCTATCCCCCTTAATATTTGGCCGGAGTATTCGGATTTTTTAATGAAATATCGAAACACCCTGTATGTGTTTTTCGAAAATTAATTTTGTGAAAACTTTTCTAGGATTTCTATTAAAGTGGTTAGTAAAAACAAAATTTTCAAGTTTTCTACTTAATAATTTTATATGTTTTATAAAGACAACATTAAGAAGGTTTCTAGATGTTAACTTGGAATATGTTTGTAGACGTTCTAATAGATGGACAAAACAATAAAAAAAAAATTATAAAAAAGGCAGTTCCAACACAGAAAGGAGCATACTAACAATCTTTTATCTACATCACTTTTTTGCTTTTTTATATTTTTCTTTTACAAAAAACAATCTATTCAAGATAGAAAACATTTATTTCAGTGATTTAAATCTGTATGTATAAACCAACATAAGGTATAATAAAAATAAAAGCTTATTCTACACTAAATTATGTAATATTACATATATCAGAAAAATTAAAATTAACCATAAATTTACTTTAAATTTCGTAATAGCTATACTCAGTAGTTAAAAGAAAAATTTGGATTCAATTTTCTTTTCTTTGTTGGAACTGCCGGCATAGCGCTGAAAATAAAAAATTATTTTTAAACGTTTATTCAGGATGTAACAGAACGGCATGTCAAAAGCGAAGCAAAAAATTTAAATAAAATTTTTCTCGAAAATGACAATTTTTTAGGAAAATTATTTTATTCATACACAGGGTGTTAACTAAATTTGCGACAAACACAAAAGAATCGCCCCTTAACGTTTGTCGATGCGATTCATTAAATTTAATTTCAGAATCTTCATTTGACCCAGAGTAATATTTTCTTTGAAAACATTTGATGCCATTTATCTCAAAAATGCTTCAAGGGCAATTAAATTTGGAGAGAAAAGCATGTTACACCCTGTATCTGATCAAATGTATGTGTGGAATAAAAAAAAAGAACTACTAAATTGGGAAATACGAAGTTTTCTACAAAAAACTGTACGAATTATAAAATTTTGCTACTTCTATTTAAATCTTTACAAATTACACAAAATTACAATTGACCTTACTCATGCAAAATATGTAATATAAATTACAAAAAAAAAAAAGAAGAAAAATGGGAATAATAAACATTTGATCTACAGGATGTAGTAAAACAACTCGGTCAATTTTTTTATTCTAACTTGACAAAATATATATAAACTAATGCAAAAAAGTAAATGGTCAAAAGAAATTTTTCCGTGATTTTTGACAGACTGTATTTAGATGAAAAAGGGTCATATCGGGAATTCATGCCATTCTAAGAAATAGCGCGCAACAAAATTTTGCAATTTTTTTCAGCTAAGCCATTGCATGGACTAGAGCTTGTTGATTCAACTTCAATTTCCTTTTTTTTTAATTTCGATATGATAGAACATTGGCTGGAAATAAAAAAAACAAAAACAAACTTCAAAAATTTCGAAAATTTTTCTATTTCATCAATTTTAAACGTTATTTGCGGTAAAAATGTGAAAAAATCACAAATTTTTTTTTTTTTAATTTCGATATGACCATTTTTTATTGAATTATCAGACTTTGGAAAAGAATCCTTTTGTCTTCAATCATCGATACCTTGGCGATAAATAGTCGTACAGAGAATTGAGGGGTAGTTTTGAAAACGAATAAATTTCCTGCCGCAACTTTTTGGAAAAAAATAATTTTTTTCAACTTTTACAGGAATTAAAAAAAACAGCAAAAAGGGGTATTTATGGTTTTTTTTTTAGAAAATTGACGACTAAATTAGAAATATTCACGAAATGACTAATGTTAAGCATGACTTTTACAGTTTGATATACCCAGAAGAACCCTGTGAAGTTTCATCTCGATCTAGCGAGCCGTTTTTTGTTTCAAAAAGTCACTCGAAAAAAATTAAAGTATCACGTTTTTTTGGGCTTAACATTTCATAATCATGATTAAAATGGCAAAAAATTTTTTTTTAGGTTTTCTCACATTTTTACAGCAAATATAGTTTAATTAAATTGATGATAAAAAAATTAATAAAAATTTTATAATTTTCTAAATTTTTTAATTTTTTTTTTTGTTGTTTTTTTGGAATACCTTCAAAACATTGAAGAAAACAATCCAATTATTTCCAGCATGATTCGGCTCTTTCATCCTACAAATTTCTGATTAATTATTGTGCAGTCTAATCACTTAAAAGAGTTTTTTTCCCTTTTTCTTTTCTGAAAGTGTAAAATTATTTTGTCGCGCTATTTCTTAGAATTGCATGATAACCGCAGCTCCTAAAAAATATCGACCGAAAGATCTAAAAACTAGAATCTTAGAGCTTCAAAATGCTCTTTTTTAATTCCCGATACGACCATTTTTCACCTAAATACAGTCTGTCAAAAACCACTGTAAAATTTCGGTAATTCTTTTGACCCTTTAATTTCTTGCATTAGTGTATGTATATATTTCTTGAGAACAGTAACGAGTCCCGCAATTGATGCTAAACGTGAAACTTACCCGGCGGGTGCCACTTGGTGAGTGGCAGCGAGGTATCCCGGCTGAGTCGTGGTGACATATACGGGCCGACGATACAGCTCAGTCTGATGATATAAAGGCTGACCCGCAGCAGCAAGTGGATGCTGGGGTGACAACCTTGGAGCTCCAGCCAACGGTTGGGGTGAGAGGTGAGTATTGCTGTGTCTACAATTACGTCTTATGATAACGCATGCAATTAGACAGTCAGTTACAAGTTAAACAATGTAACCTAATGCAAGTCGGGTTTAATTCTAAAAAGGGTACCCTATTCTACTCTTTATCTTTCTACGATGGATTTAATTAAAAAAAGTGAGTTTTATTTTGTATTAAAGACGTGTCAGGAAATTACGAGCAGAAAATTGAAAGTGTCTGGTGTCTGGTGCCTGGTGGTAAAAATTTCATATTTGTTCTATAATTTTGTTATTTTCGATAAAATAAAGTGTGTTATTAGGAGGGTTCTATAGCAAATAGGTAACCAGTAATACATTTTTATGGATTTTATTACACAGTTTCTCTAAATATGAATTAATGCACAAATAACAGACTTTCCCCCATTTTAACGCAGATTTTCTATAAAATGGACTTGGTTTGAAACTCAAATTACTTTTTGGTGTAAAGAAATTTGTAATTTACGATGCAAATTACAAATTTCTCTACAAAAAAAAGTAATCCGAGTTTCAAACTAACTCCATTTTATAGAAAACCTGCGTTATAATGGAGGAAAGTCTGTTATTTGTGCATTAATTTATATTTAAACAAACTGTGTAAGAAAATCTATAAAAATGTATTGCTGGTTGCCTATTTGCCATAGAACCCTCTAAATTCACACTATCAGCTACTATTGGCCACTGTTGACACTGCCATCCAGAACCAGTAGAAAACACTCATAGTTTTCAGACACCGTTCTGTTTGCTTTTTCCTGAGAATAAAGTTCAAATATTTTTTCCGAACATAAAAATTTCAACAACTAAACTACCGCTAAATATACAGCTTTACAATACTTCAAGGGACATTAAAAGGATAACCAATTCTCTACAAGGAACCCAAAGAAACTCACCTGTAACTCGGGTGTATGGCCTGAGGGGGTCCCCAACTCTTCCCGGGAGCCAGCAGGTGCTGTTCCCTAGCCACCGCGAGGCTATCCCTGGTGGTGTGGGCCGCTGGCGGTTGGATGTATTCCGCGTGTGTTTGAGCCGGCACGGCGTACTCCTGTAGACTGACTACGGGCACGGCGGAATGCCTCCTCGAGTGGCTGGAGGTGTTATGGGCGGCCGGCGGGGCCCAAGAGACCCTCTTGTCGCTAGTAGAGTAAACCTGAGGCTCGTGACCGGCGTTAACGTAGTGATAGGCCTACAAAAAAAAGAGCATTGACTTATTTAAACGATAAAATCAAGATGGATAACGGTTTGTCATTGTTCATTGTGAACGAATCATTAATATGCACTTTATTTACTTAAAAGGGCTCTTTAGGAAATAGGCAACCAGGAATGCATTTTTATAGATTTTATTACACAGTTTGTCTAAATATGAGTTGATGCACAAATAACAGACTTTCCCCCATTTTAACGCAGTTTTTTTATAAAACGGAGTTAGTTTTTAACTCAAATTACCTTTTGGTGTAGAGAAATTTGTAATTTACGATGCCTCGACGCGGCAAATTACAAATTTCTCTATAACAAAAAATAATTTGAGTTTCAAACTAACTCCGTTTTATAGAAAATATGCGTTGGAATGGAGGAAAGTCGGTTATTTGTGCATTAATTCATATTTAGACAAACTTCATCAATAAAGAAATGTTGAGGCTTTACAGTCGAGGTGGCGACGACTTACCTGAGGTGGTTCCTTGCAGGCCGAACTGCAATGTTGCAGATAATTGTAATCCGTTGGTTCTTGCTTCGTGGGGACGTTTAGCATACATTCCGACTGAGCTTTAGCCAGGAGACGTTTCTTCTGCGATATGGACGCGTAGTTGGTGTTATTCTGGCAGGGCTCGTTCTTGATCACCTGATTGTAGATGTTGTTATGGTTCTAAAAATAACAAAAAAATAAATGTCATATATACTCTGTTAAATCCGTTTTACCCTTGCCTTTGAGGAGCTCCTTTCCTCGTTGTCGCTATCCTGCACGCTCACGCAACTGATAACGTTCTTACGTTGAGCCGGGGCCGGGTGCGCGTTGGTGTGTACCGCTTTCTTGCCGGGCGTGCTTTCGTCCTCGCTATCGGATATGGTGATGACGGAGACGGCGGGCGACGGCGTGTCGTTGATCGTTATCGTATGCTGCTTGCCGTGGTGGTGGTGGTGGTGATGGTGGTGGATTGTCTGTGTGTGATGGTCCTGAGAAATTACCTACGGACGACACATTAATTTAGAAGAAAACGTAAAAGGTAGCGCCACTCTACGCACATACTTAGAAAAAAAAATTGGAAAATAATAAAATATAAACGAAAAACTCACTTGTGGGTGAGGAGGATGTTGCCAGTGACCGTTAACGTTTGGACTGTGATTTCTCCTGCTGCTGCTCGCATAATTGATCTGCTCCGAGGGGGGCGTGCCCTCCTTTACGCGTTTCTTGACCGGACTAAGCTGAGTTTGCTCTTTCTTGTCGTGTTGAGATCTATGATGCGACGGTACCTAAACAAAACACCACCGCGTAAATAAACCTTTAAATAAAAAAAGCAAAACTAGCCATACCATCAAATGGTGATGACTATGATGCCCGTTGGATTGCTGAACGTGATGATTCTTGGAACTCCTTTTACTTGTGCCCCACGAACTACCCGTGTGTTCGACAATAGCCGGATTGTATACTTCGGTGGCGACGTCGACGGGAAAAACCGGACGCTGCTCCTGCAGGATTGCCGAAGAGTCTACCAGAAGTGGCCTACCCCATTCCGCTTCCGATAAAAGGGGCTGCTGTATGGCGGCGTGTTGCGGAGGCAGCTGTTGCCACGATGGTACGATGGCCATTTGCTGGCGGTTTGTGGGCCAAGAAGTCTGTACGGCGTTCTGTAAATTGTGGTAATTCTCGAAATTCTGTACACAAATTAATTATCATATAGTGTCTTTATTTTTCATTTTTGTTTAAAAAAATTTACTTTTGTTCGAATGTAAAAAAATGTTTTAGGTGGGCCAATGTATACAATGTGTCCTCGCAAAGACACGGTATCAGTTAAAAACACAGGGTATTCACAGATCATTTCAATTCAACAGTAGGTAGGTAGGATAAAAACAAAATTAAGTTGAAATATTGATATTTTTTGGGAAAAAATCCTACATGATGAAGTTCTTTGTAGCAAATCTTTATTTTTGGTTATCTAAGTACTAGGCATATTCACAAAGTGAGTCGTCAATTTTTTTTTTATTTTCCTTTGCAAGAAGAAATCGAATTGGGCTTCTCACTTCGCAGCTGGCAGGATTTTAACATGCCACTACAACAACAGTTCTCAACTGCGTAAGACAAATATGCGTGTTCTGGTCCCAACACCTTGACCTTGAATGCAGTGTTGCCAACTTTGTCGAAAACAAAAACCACAAAATGTCAGAGTCTCAGTACTCTTTGTGAATATGCCTCATGCAAAAAAAATATTTCAATATTCAATGTTTAAAGATAATTTTTTGTTTAAATGTAATTTCATTATGAAAAACTGTAACTACTACCAACTTTACGAGTTCGTAAAAAAAGATACAGTTATTAATTTCACTTTTTTAATTTTTATTTTGAAATTTTAGAAATTTTCCTTGAGATTTTCAACGTTCCTGTAAAATTTCACTGCCCCATGACAAAAATTTATAAACTATTGTTCCTTCAATGTTTCCGATACTGATTTTAAAGACATTCGACGAATTTATTCACTTACCGTCAGTAACATCTGTCTTCCGGTAGGTTCGACGACGCTCACCGGCACATACTGCTGCTGGCCCGGCTGGCTGAGTATCGGGGGCTGAATCTGCAGCTGAGGCTGCTGAACGACGGTCACGTGTTTAGCCGGCGATCCCCCCATGCCTTGGTACCCCGCCGGACACAGAATGCTCGAAACCAGCTGGTGCTGGAAAGGATCGGCCCTGCTACTGGTGGCGTACTGTCGTCCGACCGTCCTGCCGTTGTAAATTTGATACTGAAAATCGCGAGGATTAGAAAATTATCACTCCTCGAGTGTGTTTCTTCTTACCAGATTATCGTAACCGGATCTGTCCCTCACGAGCCTCTGGACTTGATTCGTCAACTGGTTATTTATGGTGAACGTCACGTTGCCGTTGGAGCTGGGAACGAAGTTGGCGACCAACGATGGAGCCTGCTGTGCCGGTTGGTGGTGCGAAGCCGTGGTTGTGTTGTTGTAATCGTTTCTACGACAGACCTGGGAAGGCGACAAGTAAATCGACGACCCTCTATCGAGCCCGAGAACGAAAACACTTACCTCCATCATTTGTACGCTCGCCTTTACGTTGTTGCAGTGTGCATAGTCTACTAGATGTGCTAGTCTGACGAACGGGTGGTTAAGTGCCTCTCCGGGAGTTGTTCGTCGCTCCTAAACATAACATTTGGAAGTTGCAGAAGATCAAAACTAATGTAAAAATACGGCGAAGGATTTGGTTCCACGCATACTGCGGAAACCGCGAATGTTTGCTAAACATATGAGAGCTTAAAATGTAAATTGGAGAAAATATTGCTACCTGGTCCATTGTGAGCATTCTCTTCAGAAGATCGATGAATTCCTTCCTGTCCACCTTCTCCGCTAGTAACTGGCCCCCTTCCAGGTCCGTCGGCACGTTGACCTGACCTATATCATCTAGACAGTTGAAGATGTACTTCCTTGCCTCCTTCGATTTAATACCAGTCTCGGCTTCGTGTTCTTCTGGCGTTTTAAGCCTCCAGAACGGGTATGTGCTCTCCATATCACGGTAAAAGAACTTGGTGGTTTTCGAAGCATTATTGAGCATATGCTCCGTAGGTAGACCTAAAAAACGTATATAAACTTGTATAAAAAATTTAAAAAGTTCATTCAACGTTAATTTTTACCTTGCGTCTGGCTGATGTATCTGATTTGGTCGTATTCCGAGGAACCGGGATATAGCGGCCATCCCAAGAACAGTTCGGCGACCACACACCCAAGCGACCACATGTCGATGGCTTCGCAGAAAGGGAGGCCCAAGATGATTTCGGGCGCCCGGTAGTAGCGGGACTGCAAGTACGTGTTGCATACGGCTTTGCTGACGTGACTCGCACTGCCGAAATCGATGACTTTCACCCTGTAGGGCTGCCTGACAGGGTCCACTAGCATGATATTCTCTGGTTTAAGATCAGCATGAATCAGTCCCAATTGCTGTAAGAGAAAGACGAAGGTGCTCACTATTTTGCCCATAATTCGGTAGCAGTAATTGTTCGATGTAATGGTAAATTGAAATTTGGAAAAAAATTATAAGGAAAACTTTAGCAAATTCTTAAAAACTAACGCAAAAAATTAAAGGGTCAAAGGAATTTCTGAAATTTTTCCGTGATTTTTGACTGGTGAAAAATGGTCATATTGGGAATTAAAAAAAAGTTTTCGGTCGACATTTTTTAGCAGGTACGGTTGTCATGCAATTCTAAGAACTAGCGCCACAAAAAAATTTTGCAAATTTTAAACACTTCAAATCATGAATAAAATGGAAAACAATTTTTTTTGAGGTTTTCTCATATTTTTACCGCAAGTAACGTTTAAATTGAAGAAACAAAAAATTTTCAAAAATTTTTTTCAGAGAAGAAAAAGGGTAGTTTTGAAAAAACTGTTTTCTAAGTGTTTACAGACTGCACAAAAATTAATTAGAAAAAAACGGTATGAATCGGAGTCAAAATCTGGTTTGGATCATCAACTTTAATTTTAGGACGGAAAAGCCGAACCGTGGTAGATACAATTGGATTTTGTTTTTTTCAATGTCAGGAAAGTTTTCCAAAAAAAAACTCAAAAATTGTTCATGTTTTTTTTCATCAATTTGAACGTAAAAATGTGAGAAAACCTCAAAAAAAATTTTTCACACTTTAATCATGATTATGAAGTGTTTAAGTTCAAAAAACGTGACCCTTTAATTTTTTTCAAAAGTTTAACTGCTAGATCGAGATGAAACTTCACAGGGTTCTTCTGGGTATATCGAACTGTAAAAATCATGCTTAACATTAGTCATTTCGTGACTACTTCTAATTTAGCTGTCAATTTTCTAAAAAACCATAAATTAAACTTTTTTTTTGTTTTTTAAAATTTGTGTAAAAGATGAAAACATTTTTTTCCTGAAAAGTTGCGGCAGCGTGTTATAGGAAATTTATTCCAGTTTTTGAAACTGCCCTTCGATTCTCTGTACGACCATTTGTCGTCAAGATATCGATGATCGATGACAATAGGATACTTTCCCATTAAAAGTCCTATATTTCGATGAATAATCGAAATTTAAAAAAAGGAAATTGAAGCAGAATAAACAAGCTATCTAGTCCATGCTGAAAAAATATTTTCCAAGTCCGTGGAAATTATTTTGTTGCTATTTCTTAAAATTGCATGACAACTAGAAAAAAACTAGAATCTTAGACCTTCAAAATGCTTTTTTAATTCCCGATATGACCATTTTTCACCTAAATACAGTCTGTCAAAAATCACGGAAAAATTTCGGAAATTCTTTTAACCCATTAATTTTTTGCATTAGTGTATATACAGGGTCTAACTTTAACTCAGAAAGTTTTTTTTTACGTTAATAGTACATGTTACCCCGAATATCAATCTAAATTATATATTTTCATAATCAAATAACAGTTTAATTCATTTTTTTAAGTGTACTTAAACTGGCAGAAAATGAAACTGCGACAGAAAATAATTTTGTAAAAACAGATTGTTTTTTACTATTTTTTAAAGCACTGTGTTTAGTCTATGAATCGGTGTTAATCCATATTGACCCAGTTTATATCAATCCACCTGATGGGATATGACAACAGGGCAAGTAAAAACCATAAATACAATCAATTTAATTGTATCAAAATCTAACTCCGGAAGGGAGTAAATATTTTGTCAGGCAAAGCAATGTTTCATCGGGCAGAACAATGCTCTACTTTGCCTCCTCTTAGCTACAGTCCCGATTTAAGCGCTATTTAAATTATTTTTATAGATCGTACAAATTTATAATCGACATTAATTTTTTACTAGGATCATATTATTTTTAAATAAATTCTTGTTAAAAACCAACAACACCAGGTTTTCCTAGAAATAAACTAATTTTATAAGAGTCGAGGCATAGGTTAATTGCAAAACCACTAGTTTTGTAATCCAAGAGTTTTTGTTGTGACATAAAAATAGTGCAAACATTTTTATTTAACTTGTATTATTTATTCAAATAAATCTACCATTGAAAGAGAGAACTGTATGTAACTCAACCTTGAACAAATGTGAAATACTGTAAAAAACTGTTTTCGTAATTTATGCTGTTGCGTCTTTTATTTAAAAAAGAATTTATCCTCAACGATAACAATTTTTTTTTTAATTAAGTGATAAGCGAATTTTACAACAAGATAATGACTGGTGATAACCGAACTTAGCGAGACCGAGTTGTGCAAAAATATTTCAAAATAAAGTTGTCCGAGGAAGTATTTTCTCACGCAACACAAAAGGAACGGGGAAATAGAAAGTACGTTTGAAGATTATTAGACTGACCTTAAGTTTGAGCAATGCAGTTAAGACCTGCTGCAGAATCGGTCTGATATATTTCAGGGGTAGAGGACTGAATTTGTTCTGCTTGAGGAAGTCATAGAGGTTCTGTTCAAGCATCTCGAACACAAGACAAGTGTGGTTCTTGTGCTGGAAACATTCGTAGGCCCTGACGAAATTGAATTCATCGGCATTTTCCTGGCTCAATCTGGAAAGGATGCTCACTTCAATTTGGCCCTAGAAAAAAATCAAAACATATTTTTTTATTAATCGTAGTTATGTAAACAATGATTCGTTTACAATGAACAATGACAAACTGTTATGTCCATGCTCGAATTAATGCGATCCGTGAAAATCACACCAATCACAGCCGGTGAAACAGAATGTTGTGTTTTAATAGTTTATTCGTAGAACTTCCATACCTGTCTAGCATAAGAAGGATGATTCTTCAAAATCTTGATGGCGACGATCTCATTTGTCCCTTTCTTCCAGCACTTGACGACCTGCCCGAACGTCCCTCTTCCGAGGAACTCCAGCACCTCGTACTGATTGGCCATGGAGTACAGCACCTCGTGCTGCACCAGCTGGTAGTCCCCATCGGCACCGGAACCCGAGCCTATGGACCCGAAAACGTAGTCGTTATAGTCATCACCCGTAACGGTCCAATCGACAGTGGGCGTGACCGCTGCACGTTTTGCACATAAGACATGTAATATATTTCTTTCGACGGAGGGGCCCATCGTTGGATCAAGTCTATATCAACGGTGGGCTGCCTCAAGAGGCACTACCATTGCACGTGTTACATTAATGAAGTTGTTAAATGCAATTGTCTATTTGTTATTACAAATATACACGTGTAGTGAAAAAAAAATGTATATTGTTTGTTTAATTTAGATTAGATTACAATGTGAATTACAGGACATACACACTCAGAGGTTTCTCTAGAGATATGAACTTTACCGAAAAATTTTCAGGTTCAATCTGTCACGGTTCAAACTAATCAGTTCGTACCAACATGCTTTTCGGAGTTCTTTTAGCAAGTCAAAAAGATTCTCATTCTCACAATCCTAAATCTGTTGGTATAGTCTTTCCGATCTCAACTGAAGAACCAAGAAGTTGGCAGTATGTACCAGGTTCGGTCGCTGACACAGCAACTCGGCATTGAAGTATTTAAAAAACTTGTTCTCATATTTATTTAGCCGTACCCATATACAGGTCTGGTCGCTCAGTTGAAGATTGAGCGCGCGGACAAACGCGGCACAAACACAGCCGCACTTGGCGACCTGGCCATAAATTCAGTTGTCGATAAATGGCCTTGCAGTGCGGTGCAGCAATGCGGAATTTCGTGAGATTCAGGTAATTTTAACTTATTATTAATCAATATTATAATTGCGAAAGTGAGAAGAGGGATATTTTGTAGAGCTTTTGAAACGGAACAAAACGAAACATACCATCAATATAATAAAATTGTTTAAGGGCATAAATAATTAAAATATGTTATTGGTGAAATGAACATATAATATAAATTTTCTACACATTATATACAAATTATTACAAGTTTTTACCTTTAGCAGAAACTTTTTTAATTTTATTGCTAGGCGTTTTTATACATGTTCAATTGACTTCGGAAAGATTATACAACTCTACGTATATATCCTACATCACATGATCAATTTTAAGCTGGAGTATCTTAATTATAATGAATTTAATTTAGATTAATCACACAGATAGATTCCCCCCGTTGTTTTTAAAACTGTTATCTCCGTTATCAATACTCAAAGATGAAGTCAATAGTAAATAAATATTATATGCTCTAGAAGTGAGTATAAAACATACTAATAATAATAAACTCATAACAATTTTGTCATTTGGCAAATAATACTGGGTATTAGTATATATAAAATTATTACAAGTCAGTAAACAATGTGGGAGTTTTTTTATTTCAAAATTAAATTTCTGTTTTTGCTTTGTTTTGTAACGTACCTACTCAATTAAGTTACTGATGAGACAATAACCGCTGAATGGTAACGAGTTATTACAATAACCATATATAACCACAACACAATGTGGTTAAAACTGGAACAGACTCGTTGATATTAGAATGTTATTACCAGCATCATTTGAAAAACTGTTTTATAAATTTTCATAACGGGCTTGCAATTTCCAATTGTTTATCTCCATAACTGGGATGAACGCATGTGAAGAGATATGTTAATGTGGTAGAGATATAATAACGGAATGTTATAAAAACAAGTTAAAAATAATTAAAACGTAATGCAGCGGAAAAAACTAATTTCATACTATTACTTAAACGATAATTTCTAGCCAATGAAATATATGGTGTTCACTGAGCATTATTGAGTCTGTGTTAAATTAAAAGCATGTGCTAATTGCGATAACTGATCATAAAAAAATTGAAATGTTGCACTAATGATTTTACATTTGATTTAAACAATGCACGAACTGATAAATCAATGGTAGTGCCTGTTGACAATTCATATAATATGCATAAACTTTTCATTACAATTTACATGTAATATTTGCGATAAGTACAGTTATTAGTTATTGTTTACATACACACAGACCGATAGGGAGGATTTATAAAAGACATTATGAAATTTTAATATGTGTAATGTACAACGATTCACTTATCGCTTTCGATAATTCCATGGAAGATTGTAAACAACTCATTTAATCTATATATAACTTATTCGTGTTGACTAGCAAAAAAATAAGTATTATTTCATAAATCCACAACTGTAATTATTATTAATTTTGTTGTGTTACAATTCAAATCCAATAAAAACAGAAAAAATTAGTTTGAGAGACAAACAGAATGAATTTAGTGAATTACTGAACATAGAACTCGTTTATTTAAAATAATCGAGAACAATATCTGCAAAAATTAGGATATACATATAGGATTGTGAACTTCAGTTTTTCTCAGAAACAGTAACCACTGCAAAAATACATTATTTGTATATTTTAAGAAATTTAATTTGAGGTAATTGTAATTCTTACACAAAGTGAATCATTTTAAAGATATTTGCATAGAACCATAATCCAGAATGTGGAAAATATTTTTGCATTTATAAATAAAATTATCGGGTTTTTTGGGAAGCTTCCAACCAATAAATTGTTCAAGAAAAATAAATGCTCTCCCAAACACAAAATAAAAACTTGGAAGAATTACACGTTCTACATGCTTTAATTCCCTAACACGTCTTTACTACAATTAATTTTGATAAGGAACCAATTAAGGTACATATATTTATAGAGCATACGACATTGCATTTTTATTACTATTTCCAAGATCAACTTTGTTCTCGAATACAATTTATTTCTAACATAAGGCTGCCTACCACAATATATTATGTATTTTCAAGGCTTTACGGGCAATTTAGCTAGCAAAAGTTTACGAGATGCAAAAATAAAGAGACACAGAAATTTATCTTTATGTACAAGTTGTTAACTTCAAACTAACTGTTTAGGAGGGCACCAATCAAAAGACAGAGATCTTAAAAGTAAAACACATTTATAAAATTTATTATGCGACAATATTTAGTAGTAAGGCATTCACTGAGAAGTAATAAAATGGTATCAAACCGAATGGCCTGTGCCTAATTATTGTTCCAACTGCCCGCTATGTTACTCCGATCATTATTCCTGAACACTATTATATTGTGGTAGCGACCCGGTAAAAATATATAAAAGGTGTCATTACATTTTTTCTTACCTTGCGGCTGGGGGTTGTTAGCCCCCGGAGCCGCTGTAACCTTGCTGTGGGCCGTCGTGGTTGTTGTAGTTGTGCAATCTGTGTTGGGAACTGCCTCCCCACAACTATTACCATTACCTTCGGGCGACCAGGTCTTACGCTGCAACCAAACGGAAGGTGAGTTAGCCAAAAAATGATTTTAAACCGATCGTAATTTAAATAATCCAAAAGAATGACTAGATTTTTTTGTAAGCAAATGCCAATTTACATAAACCATCAATTTTCATGTTTCAAAGTCAGTTATCAATATGGCATTCATAATTGTAATCTAAAATTAACAAGCAAGGTCAGAAAAAACATTATGACCAACAAGATTCTGTAAGATATGCCTTAAATGATTAATACCCTGACTTGTACATGTTAACAAAATAGACAGATAAATCTATTAAATAGTTAACAAGGTTTATAAAAGCGAGTTTTCAACTTTGGTTATACAGGGTATCCCAAAAGCACATGATCAAAAAGGTAATGTGACGTTCTTTGGCTCAAAAGAAGACGATCTGAATAAAATATAGAATTTAATATTTTATTGGTCTACATTAATACATACAAATTATGGTAGCAAGTCAAAGAAACACACAATCATAAAAACAACAATTTAAGACAATACAACTAAAGTACTAGACTAATTAAAATACACATTGACCTAACAATAAAAATTACTTTATAACATAATAAATGTAAAGAGTTAAAACAACCACTAAAAGTCATGAACACTATCCATATAGTCACTAACGGAATAAAAACATTTTGACAACAAATAATTCTTTATACACAACTTAAATTTGACAAAACATAGTGATTTTACGTGTGATGAGAGGACACTGTACATGTTTAAATTTAAGGAATTTCTCGCAGTCAGTGCTAAGCGATATCTAGGTAGCCGCAAGAATTTAGAAGTACGAGTACAGTAGTTATGTATATCCGATTGAACCGTGTAACTGGCAATATTCTTATGAATATCCAATAAACAGTAATAAACAAACAGCCATGGCAAGGGCATAATTGCAAGGTTCTCAAAAAATTGGCGACAGTGATCTCTATAACCTACGTTGGACAGAATACGAATGGCTTTTTTTGGATTCTAAAGTTTTTAAAGGGCTAGAGCAGCCCCCCATAGCACAATACCATAAGACAACATGGAATTGAAGAGGGGAAAAATAAACTGATTTTAAAGTATCAGTGCTAATCACCTCTAACCTTAACAAAAAAAACTACTCCAGACAACCTCTTATTCATGGATTCAACATGGTCAGATCAAGTCAATTTATCATCAATTGTAATGCCAAGGACTTTAACAGATTTATGTTCTACATGCCCTGGAGTAGTAGTAAACGTTATACTATGGGATTTATCTCTATTAATTTTAAGATTGTTAAATAAAAACCAATTTATGGCTTTAGATAACATGTTAGATGAATCTTCAGTTAGACATGAGGAATCTTTATTCATATTAATTAGGGTGGTGTCATCTGCGAATAGTACGCACTTATTAGGTGCGATAGCAAAGCAAAAGTCATTAAGGTATATTGCGAAAAGCAAGGGCCCCAATACAGAACCCTGCGGATCAATACCGTTAAAATTGGAAGTATTGCCATTAACTGTAAGTTTCATTAAAATCCATAGTAACATGCTACAAATATTACAAAAAACATCATTTTTTTCAAGAAGTTTGACAGTCAATAGCAGAGAGCTAGACATTTTTTCTTAATGAAAGTTAGGTCAGATCGTCTTCTTTTGAGCCAAAGAATGTCGCAGTGCCTTTTTGATCATGTGCTTATGGGACACCCTGGATAGGGGATAAATTCCGAATCACCCTGTATACCAAAATATTACGCTCTTTTTAACACGCTGTTTTGTTACAATAACACAAGATATGACGAACAAAATCACCAATACAAAATACTGAATTTATTGGAGTATGAATTGTCTGTAATATGAAAGGAAACATATTACTATCAAATAGAAATTAGTTAAATCAAATTTATCAAATATAAATAGAAATTCAATGATGCAGCAAGACCAAAACAATGGACTTAATAGGACAAAATAATCATGTTACAAAATCCGACCGTTCGAATACGCCCTGAATCAGCATAGGATCAACAAGCTTGTACATACTTCTCGTTAATAAATACCAATCTAATACATAAAAGATAAAAATAGCAGACCGTTGTCTGCCCAGTATCCAAATATGAAGTTACGTGATGGATTTCGGCCTAGCTTAATGCATAGGTACAGAAATTTAGTCAGCCTATTTACAAAACGGGAAATTCTAATTTCAACCCTAACAAAACACTTGTGTAGATGTTCATATGTATATATTTTTATATACGTGTTTTTCCGCGAGATTTGGATGCGCCTAATATGTAATATAAAACCTTCATTACATAACTTTATTTACCAGACTTGTTTTTTGCACAGGTGTCCTGTCTTTGTCACTTTTTCTGCGGACTCTCTTCTGGATGGATGGATTTCGTCAACCTTATTGTTATCTAATTGCATTTATGTCTTTCATATTTTATATTGGTGTATAAGCTCGATTTAATTATTAAAAAAAAAACTGGACAATCGACCAGAAAGAGTACTGAAACGAATAACCATCGAGGAAATAATATTTCGGTAAATATTTATTTCTAACAATGTTTTAAAATTGTAAAAGTAGCGCGCGTGCAATGGGGACCTGGCACCGCTGCGGTATTTAAATTTTAAACAAATATTTATATGAAAACGTAACCAAACAATGAGAGGTGAACAACAAAGCAGAAGCTGTTTACGTTTTAAGTGTGTCACTTATGGCGGCTGGGTGTATTTATTTTTTATTTATTTGAAACGTTTCCCGACGTAGTACGTCTATTCCAGTAAAATTCGCGTGGAGGTGGGTGTTCAATTAGTTAAACGCATATTTTGTTAATTTTAAATTATATATTTTTAGTCAAAATAAAATTGGAAACGTTCCGCCTATTCGTAATAATTAATAATATAGTAATATACAGTAGGTCAAATACACAGATCTAATGGTGGGCGAAAAGAGCTAGGATATCTCGACTTTTAATGATTTTATACAGGATGATTTATAATAGGTGTATATATGTGGCATATTTCCAGATAAGGTCATTTAAGAAAAAAAGTTTACTGAACCAATATCCCTAGTCATTTTAGTTAACAGTTAGCATATGTTTCAAAACTGAGTGTCTTGTTACCGTGAAAATAATCAAGAATTGATTACTAATACCTTAGGTTTGTGTACCTAGTTTTTAAAATAAGCGAGTTTACTGCAGTTACATATGCAGATCTAGAAGAATATCACAGAAAACTCCTGAAAGACGTCAGTCTTTTCACATCTAATAATCGAGGTAATAACGCTAGACTAGACAATGTTAACAATGAAGAAAATATAGTTTATGTTGATTGGACAACCCCTCATTGAGTTCAACGGAAATTCCAGGAATTAAAACCGGAAAGTCGGTTGGCGTGAAGAGTTTTGTAATTGGCTGCTACAAAAAATTGCTAAAGATGCAATATTTTTAACTATACTACAGCTGGTATTAATAGCATTCATAATTACCATTTACGGAATCCTCAAAATCCTCATGCTGTTAGATAATCGCGATTTAAACACAGTTTTGATGTGAATATTTGGACTGGTGCTTTAACGGACTGCTGAACTCAGAAGTTTTACCATCCAGGTTAAATGCAGAACGTTATCTAAATTTTCTATACGAAACGGTTTTTGAAAAGGTCGAACATACGCCATTTTTTGATCCTCAACAAATTTGGATTGAACATGACGCACAGTGATCTAAATCGACATTTTTTGCGTCAAAATTCGTTCGACAGCTCGCATGTAGATACAATTGCTTGAATTTATTTGAAACACTTTTCAGAAACTGTACTTTTGCGGATTTCTACAGAAAATGAGCATGTGATATAGGTGCAAACTTATTATAACACTAAGAAGATGTACATTCATACTTTTTACATTCGCACTATTAATTTTGAACCCATAGACCCTAAACCCATAGACGTTAAATAGAAACCAGACAGCCCATAAAAAGCAATTGGTTGATAAGAGGACGTTTTGAATAATTGTTGTAGCATTTTATTTTTTATAATTATTGTTACAAATTGGCAACAATATTTTTTTTCCCATATTATAATTCACCCTGTATACGAGGCGTTTCATTAGAAAGTAAAAAAAAAAGACGTATTTTAAGTCGTTATTAATCATAAACGGAGGAGATAAAAAGGATTTAATTAGGCATAAAAATAGTTTCGTTATCATAGTGATTTAAAGTGCTAGCGGTTTTCTGAGTCAATATGAAGCTTTTGTAAAAGTCATTACTAAACATGCCAACGGTGAAGAACGACGAAACGACAGAAAAATCAAGTGCATCATCATACAGAGAATAAAATTTGACAATTTTTTCCCTATTCGCTTACTGTAAGTTTAAGAGATTACAAATGAAGAAATCTTTATTGCATATCTTTAATAAATAATTTATCTGCTTTAGTTTTAGATTTACATTTTTTAACAATTAAAATAAAATGAAAAACATTAAAAAAAGAATATAAATAACACCTAAAAAAGCAAAACATTAAACATGTTGATCGTATTTGCATAAAATAAACGTTTTTTGACATTTAGTATTTTTGTTGGTGTAATTTGGTCACGATTTGTAGGTATTTAAATTCACAATATTTAATCTACTTCCTGTTAAACTGGAATGTGCACGAAATTTGGTATTACCTTTTAGTAGTGCATACCTAAACCTAAAATCCGTTTCTGTGCTGTGTCTACCTGTGGCGTTTCCTTTATGAACCGAAATATGTCTTCGACCTTATTTATTAATTACAAACTCGACATTTATTTAACGCTTATCCTCTACTTCTATTCATAGACAGGACAAAACCAGTCCAAAAAATCAATAGTTTCCCCTACGGAAACACTAAAAATAAAGCAATGCTAGACTATGTGACAAATTATAAAATATACACAAATTCGAGAAAGATCTGATTTCGGTTTATTTTTTGAAGTTCGTTTCGACTTTTTGGAATTTAAACCGAAACTTCTCCATCTCTAATATACAGGGTGGCTCATGTACGATGTCATTAATAACATGTTAAATGAATGAAGTGTTCGCTCTTAATATATTTCTGTAAACACATTTATTATCAAGTGACACAAATTTTAAATGTATTTTACTTGATTTTATACGTAAAAAGGCGTTTATTTAGTCTTTAATTTTTACAAGGATGTTTACATAATACTGCTATGCCTTACAGATACAATGTCTAATCTTGTTTTACCCAGAACGACAATATTTAATGTGTTCAGTAGAGCGCGTATAAACAAAATGTCGATAGGTATAAAAATTGATCTACTTAAATTACCTACCTACTTTCGATTTCGTTTTTTGTTCCACTATATTTGCCACTATGGGTTGCAATGCGGTGCCTACATTTCGACAAATTAAGAAACAGGTGGATTTCACCAGATATAACTTTAACACGGTCCATAAAAAATACATCAAATTTGTCCATCATAAGAATTTTGTATCATTTATCGCAATTAAAAAATGAACATAAATTCATTATTGGGTAACTTTTAAAAATTTTGGCGTCCAAAGTTTTAAATCCTTTGAAGCGAGTACAGCATTTAAAAGAAGTCAAAGAAATAAACAGCTAACTGTATTAGTTAGTTTTCAACCCGATGGCTTAAAAATGGAATGATTTATGAGAGAAATGTTTATTTATATCCCAAAGATTAATATGGGCACACCCAGAGCTGTTTACTGTCAAGTTTGGCTCAAGAATCGAATAGGATCCGTTGCACGACATGGTAACTGGCTTCAACAGTACGCCTAGGTTTAGGTGAAAGGCGGCGAGAAGAATACGACCCACATAGGTTCCGACTTTTAGTTTGTCTCTTGGGTTTTATTGTTTCACTTTATTTTCAGTTGGAAATCTGTTCTACAAAACATCTGTTCGTAAGCGAGCAAATATGACAAGATTTTTTAAATTTTTCAAATAATTTTTTTCAGTTACATCGTTTTTGTAAGATACAAAATAGAACTAGGTATTTTCCTAGCGACCATCAGGAGAAATACACAAAACAAAAATAGATTAAAAAATATGTTTTCTTTATTCCATTTGGACATCAAAGTCCCAAAAAATATATGTCGTGTCGTATTAAGTGAAATGTAACAATTTTTAGAATATTAATGTGACCAAAAATCGGAGAAAAATCTGTTGTTGCTATTTTATAAGACTGTCATAAATTTAACAACAGTGTCCGTACTTTTATTATTTGTTAAGGAGATGCTGTACATCTAGAAGTTTCGAAAGAGAATTTCTATTTGATACAGAACTGTGGGTAGCAAACAAGAATAAAATTACCCAGTGCCAAATTTCTACGTTCAATGACTAATCCCGCTTTTGTTACTGTTGAGCAGACGGACGCTAGAAGGGTAAGGCCTTGGATACGACTATTTAGAGACGAGAGAATCTTAAACTATATATCGCATATTCGGTTAGCGACAATATTCTATCACCTATGCAATTGGATAAGGTAAGAATCACGATACAATATTGTGGAAATTAACGAAAATTTACCGACGAGTGAAGAAATCACGTACGAAGATAGAATTAAAAACGCAGCTATTTTGAAAAGTGAAACTATCGACCCATTTGGAAACAGGCGTTCTCTAAACGATGAATATCTCATCTCTTACGTCAATAGTGAGTGTTTCAAACTATAAACAAAACTTTCTGCAGTAGAGTAGAAGAAGAAATTGTGTATTTCAATTTTAACCAAACGGAACAGTTTGAAGAAAATAAATAATTAAAAATAATTATATGTGCACAACCATTTCTGGACTTACTCCTCAAAGGTCACAGTAGTGCGAATTCGCACCCCGCTTTTTTTGAACAGCTGGCATTTCTCAGGTAGCAGTTGCCTAGGGTTCCCCCACCACGATAATTCCTTCTATAGCCCAAACACTCGAGCCGTACCGCAGTTGGCCTCGGTCTTTTATTGTCGGTCAAATTAGAGAGTCTGTAAAGTCCGATCGGTGCGAATTCGCACTAGTGTGACTTTAGTGTGGGTAAAAGTGTGGCTGAATTTATATCATATAATCTAGAAATACAACAATACAATATTTTCAAACATTTATAGTTTAATTGTAACACGTATTTATGGACAATATTGTTTAAATTAATATTTTTATACAAAAGAGTGTAAAATAAAAATCAATTTACAGAAAAGAAGCCAAAATCACAACTTCAAAAAATGATAATATCAATTTATCAACATGGGTTTTTTTTTCTTCAAAATATAGACTTTGAACTTCAAAATCCCTTTTTTCACTTTTTCTCTAAACATTATTTACAAAAAAACATACGAATTTAGTTATTTTTCAAAAAATGTTTTTTAATTGCATTTTTTATTAACAAATGAATTCTTTTTTCAAAACTAATAACATCATTCGGTTTCTGGGAAAATTTTACCCAGTTTCGATATAAATACGCCGTCTTCGTTAACAAATAAAGAAGTCATAGGGTTCAAAGCTGGCAAAGTCCCAATTCGCACTAGTGCGACCTTTGAAGAGGCCCACCCCAAGCGTGACCGTTTTCCCACATAACCAGCGTAAACAAAAGAATAAAAACTGTTATCATGCCTACCTTTTGGCCGCAGCGCTGGTAGGTATCTAAGAGCTTGATGGTAGAGGCTCGAACGAATGGTTGCTGGTTCCCAAGACTCGGACTAGCATGATTGAGGTCGAATGTTGTTGAGGTAAAGTTTTGATTGTGCCCGTGTGCGGTTACAGAGAAAACTTGCTCGACGAGAGACAGTTCGCCACCGCTATTGGGGTTAACACCACCGTTAGAGCTATAATGTTCTGTCTTACGCTTTTTTGGTTGTACCGCCCCGTTGTTGCTGCTGCTACTCGTGACCAACTGCTGGGATTGGATGAACATGTCATGCATTCCCTGGAAAAAGGACACAAATGTAAATTTGTAGAAGGCAACACAACAAACGTAACAATTATTAAGACAAAATTGGGAGTTGGTGGAACTAGACTGGCCTAAAAAGAAATCCCTACAGATGCCATTAAAAAACCCGATGAAGATGCTAAAATTTGATCGACATCGTTGAATTCAACAAATGTGTGCTGATAACCCAGAGCGGTGTTACCTTTAACATATCAAACTGAGAGGGGTATTTTTATTCATAGAAAGTGTAGAGTGGACAAGTTTGTTATTAATTTTTTTTTTGTTTCTATCGGTTTTATTAAACACAAATTATATACTTTTAGTTATGTGTGTCGCGAAACTATGAGCAAAACATGTAGGGACTGAAGCTTCCCGTAAAAATAATGACATACGTTGCTGACATTTTTTTGAAAGTTGAAAATTTACGGAATTGCAGTCAATGAATTTTTTTAAAATAATAATTTGGCAAAACTTTTTCTGTTAGGCAATTTTTTTCAAAACTTGATTTAAAGGTCCTCTTCCGAAGTTGTTAACATAACTTTAAAATGTTAATACACATTTTAAAATAAAAGATAATTATATATTTTATCAGTACATTAGTAAGCATTAAAATGGCTTTTTTCCCTGAAACATTATTATTAACTTGGAACAAATACACTTTTTTGTAAAAATTTTTAATGATCTTTAATAAGAAGTTTATTTTTTTCGAAAATTTAAGTTGTATTTAATTATTAAACTATTACAAATCCTTGTTTAATGATGTAAATTTTGTGAGATAAATCTCTGATCGATTTATTATTATTTTGTTTTATAGTTTCGCCTGCGAGTAAACAGTTCTACGAAAACTCGTAATAAAACGTCATTATTAAATTAATTGACAAAAACTACCGCTAAAGATAAAATTAAAATAGAACAGAAATCAAATGGGTATACCAGACCAGTAGGTTATTGATTATATAAAAAAAAACAGGGTTAAAAGGACTCTATTTTTTTTAGTAGAAGCAGGCACAGAAAATTGCTGTAAAAAAAAACTAAATGAGATTCCCTTCAAAATGATGCGTTTTCAAAAGTTTTTGGGCTAATATTGACTAAGTTATAACCGGTCATACTTAAATATTTTTTAGATTTTCGTCGTTTTTAACATAATAATAATTATATTTTTACAACAAATTGGTTCTTTACTTAAATTATTTTAAGTTTTATTTGTTAATAATAAATAAAGATTTTCACAATTTAGTCAAACAAATAAAAAAAAAATTAAAAAATCTTATTTTTTGCTTTTTTTAAATTTGTTTATTAACGATTTTTTGCTTAAAATTTTCCTTTTAAATTTTTTAAATAAGCCATGTCGATGGGAAATTCAATTCTCTAAATTATTTTTCCTATGAACTATAGAGAAATTTTGCTTCGTTTTCGAGCTACAATCAAAAAATTGAAAGGGGTGCATTTTCACCTCTATCTCCAATTGACACTCTAATTTAATAGCACTCCGCGGTTTTTTCATCTAAAATGAATATTTGAACGATTCATGTAATAAAATATTGAATGTCATAGTTTCTTTTAAAATCCCATAATCAATAGGTGTAGATACTATATAGGGTGTATCGGATATAAATGCCAACATTTTAACAACTTATTTAACTCGTCTTCTGTAGTTAATAGTCCAAAAAATGTCTAGAGCTTATAAAAACTGTCCAAAATGGAAAAAAAATATCTTTTTAGGGAGTTCCTGAGATCCCTCACAAGCTTTTTTGAGAAAAAATACTCTAAATTTATTAAGTTAGGCAAAGTTAAGTTTTTATGATGTAAAATTTACATGAAAATTAATTATTCATAGCAAACATTTGTTTTTTAATGGTTGAAATTTAGAATTAATCTTTTCATGGAAGTAAATCATCAAATAATTTTATTTTTGTTTTTTTACTAATTGCTGGTATTTTACTGGTTTTTGAGGTTAAGAAACTTTTTTTAGGTTAGGTTATGGTTATGTTGGGTTTGAAGTTCTTGAAATAAAATTCACATACTTTGTGCGATGACAAACATTAATAATTTACTTTTATTTATCTATCAACAAGCATTATTAAAAATTGAAACTTGTTTTTAGGTTATGTTAGATTAGGTTGGGTTAGACTATGTGAATTCAAATTTGTTTCAAAAAGCGAAGTGTAAATTTCACGTATAAATCAATGACTTTATTCTGACTTTTTATTGTTTATAATATTGATTTCGCTGATTTTTATGGAAAAAAGCAATACGTTACACAAAAAGTTAAAATGTTAGTCAATTTCTATAAATTTAGAGAAATTTTTCTCAAAAAAGCTGGTGAGGGATCTCTTATGAAATCCCTAAATTTGCTCCTCGATTTACACAAACTTGATATATTTGAGTTATGTTCCAAGAAAAACTACCTTACTAATATGCTAGTTGTTGATTTCTTCAAAACAATTCGTAACTGTTTTGCGAAAATTTATAAAAAGGTTTTAGCAGGAAACTTTTGTCAGACGTATTTATATTTTACATAAATACGAAAAAAACAATAATAAAAACAGATGGAAGTTCTCCAAAAGTACATTTCGAGCAGCGTATTTCATTCACGGACTCATGAAGTTTTTGCATGCAACTAATACCACAACTGACGTTAGACCTTATCTGGCGCTCTTCTAAACAACGCTTTAGATGCGAAAGAAAAATAAAATTAAAAATTGTGTTGATATAATATGTTTTTCATGGTTCAAGATTTACGAGCTAACACAATTTTAAATGACCTTGGCCTTGTCTGGCAACCTTAAAATATATTAACGTTCACTAAAAATGTTAATGCTCGATACAAATTACTTACACAAATAATAATTAAATCGCAGTTACCTGACAGTACTATACAGTCTAACGATTAAAAAAAAAACTAGAGATAAATCATTCCAAATTTGTGAAAACGTATCGCGAATAGTTAAAATAGAGTAGGTTGCAAAAAATTCCTAATTTCATTAATTAAAATAATTTCTAAACATGCTAATTATAGAGAAGATAACAGCAACAGATAATGAATCAAGCAGCTTTTTAAATTGATACTTGCTGCTTTAATTTCGAGTACACACACAACCAATACTAATTGACGTCAGTTTTAAATTTGTTATTTAGAATATTACACATTGGATTTGTGACGGATTTGTTGGAATTTGTTCATTGTTTGCGTGCGAACCGAAATCGTAAAATAAAAATTGCAAATAGCGAAATTCTGTTGCTGTAGCTTCGTCCATAATTTTAAACACGACACCAAATCGTGTCTAGTTTTTATTTATTCGCTAATTTTCTAGTGAATTTATATGGACTCAATCTGTAAAACACGAAAACGGCATTCTACTAATGGAAATTTAAATTGAATATTAACGCAACGAAGTACCTAAATGGAAGCAGCAATTCTCGAAGAGCTGCTTCTTCAACTTCTTCCAACAAGTTGGTTGTTATCGTGTTCAACTGTACCGTCTATAAAAAAACAGGTCTATTGTTTCTAGATACGCTTAGCATAGAAGAGATAAATGTCCACCACATGTTCCGTTATGGTTTATATTTTAGTACATATACAAGATGATTCCCAGTAAGACTTCTCCGCTCCATAAGTTGGCAACGAAAAGGGATTTTTGGATACCATAGAAGCTATTTGATAAATCTCCTTCCTAACGCCAATAAATTTATAATAAAAATCTGTAACATCAGTAGTACTAGTAATTCGTACAAAATGCGATGTAATTATAGGATTATAGGAAATATATAAGATCCTGGATTCTAATTATTGTCAGCAGCAACAAAACAGGGCTTGACGTTAGTTCTTTATACCCTAGAATGAAAATTTTAGTATATTTAAAAGCACTATTGTAACAAACATTGTTCCAATCGTGCAATGTCGACTAATATAAAGCTTACACAGCTTCAAAATCAACACATGCACTTGGACAATTAATTAATTAGGATATGAAAGAATGAAGCGCGCTTGCAGTTTTGTTTTTAAACTTTTAGATGTACCTATCTATTATTTGTGAACACACAGCATTTCATTTATGTTGGGACAATTTTAGTTTTTCATGATACATGAATAGGTCTTTTCCACAATGGAAATTTCATGCCAGGATTTCAATTAGGTGATACGTTAAAGTAGGCATGTACATCGTCGTATTTATTTGACAAAGATAACAATTAGTAATAAATTTTATAACAAAATCGGAGTGGTTAAAGTTAACGTCACCTTTCATGCAATATTTACAAAATGGGAAGTGGTTTAAAAAATGTTTTTAAGGTCCTGAAAACCCTCGTGAAAACCGTTTGGCTCGCTGTTTGGTATACTCTGAATTTACCTCCAATTTTAAGTTTTTAAAAAATCATGAGTTCTGTAATACATACATTTGTATCTACTATTTTTGAAAAAAGAGTTACGAATCACACATCAAGTAACTGTTTTATAGAATCTGTAATGTTTTAAAATGGAGATACTAAGTTGCTCCAGAGAATTTCCCAATTTTCTAGTTTTGTAAAAACCCAATTATTTTGATACACCCCACTTTTAAAAACTTACGCAGAAAGCAATGCCATAAATTAAGTCAGATTATATATATATATAGATAGTGGACATAATTGTTGTTTTGGAATTTTAACCGACATAAATAATTATCTACTTTTATCTAGGTGTATTTAAATTGCATACTTCCAATTCCTAGAAAAGTAATAACATCAAAATACTTACAGCTTACATGGGTATATTTTTTAAAACATATAATACCATACTTAATAAGTATTGCTTTCATAAAAAAAGTATTTTGTCAAACAAGATAGAACAACATCAGAGCGAAATTTGAGAAACAAGAAATGATTATTCTTTATTTTAAGGAACAGAGTAACCATTTTATAAATATGTAATTTTTCTTGGCAACTTTTAAAAGCTAGCCGACTCTATTATTCACTTTGGTGCCAAGCATTGTTTTTTTCTCACCTTATTACCTACAGATATAGATGAAACACATACTCGAATAAAAAATATATTGTAAGATAGAAATAATTAACACTATCTTGATAAATTCTACACATAACAAATAATTTTTTTAAATCAATTAGTTATGAAATTACTAAATGTTGATCGGTGGTAATAAGAGAACTTTTTTAAATATACATTATGGAATTTGGTAATAGATGTATTACGGAAGGAGCACATAAACAGAGAAGCAAAATCTAGGGAAAAATAGACAATAAGAATTTATAAAACTTAAAAAGTATGGGTGCTTGTATAAGGAGCCATATGGTTCATGAATGCTTATATTTGTTACAGTTTTAACCTATAACAGCTACAACACATCGATTGTAAACAAAAATCAACATACTTTAACCATCTTAAAAGAAATATAACACAACGTTCATGTTTATAGTTGCATAACAATTACAGTTATATGCATAGACGTTTGCAACAAATAGATTTTGGTTAATAATATTGAATTTTTCCTGATAAATTGCATATAAAGTGAAAAAAAGGAAGAAAGCTTAACAGAACTATTATAAAAGTAATTTCATACACACTGCACATTATTTGTGTTCGACTATTACATGAAATTAAACTTAAGATGATTTAAGTACAAATTTTTGGCTGACAATAAAACAGTTACCATTCTATTTATAGCTAGATATGTATTTTGGTACAGCAATAATAAGGCAGTCAATGTATTATACCAAAGGGATTTTAAAGTCAACATAAAATTACATCATTTTTAATAGATTTATGTAATTTAATGCAACCTCAAATTAAGTTCTAGAATTATATAAAAAATATTCTTGGGCAAATATAGTTTGCGAACAATACATTAGGTCCATCGAAAAGTCCACCAACAAACTTTGCAATACTTATAATGCCATATTTTGAAGCATAGGTCCCTAGGTAGTTTTGAATATTACTACCTATTTACAGATAATAATGTAGCTGATAAATTATTACATTATAATTTTAGTTTTAGTTCAGTTTTACATAATACGAAGCAACCAAATCGATTAATAAATAAATTCTTGAATTAGACAAGAGCATTCTTAAACCATAAATGGTTTACATACAACATAATCTCTCTTAAAGGTAGCGTCGGCACAACATACCAGGGGGTTACCTCCCCTATTCAATCCATATGCTAGGTGTATTATGTAAAGTTCGCATTAAATAAAGTATACTAGAGGGTAGCTCTATTATGTTCTAGATTTTACACAACTATCTCATTTCGGTGTTCTGGAAAACCCTAAACATCAACAATATTGTAATAACAATATACCTAGATATCTACAAATAATATTTAAATAAATGATAAATAAAGTTGTTGTAAAGTTAACACTGATTTACCGAATGGTTTATAAATAAATTAAGAGTTAGAGGTACTCTAATTTAGAATAACATCTCTACGAATGTTAAGACAAAACTATTACCAACATCATGCAATCTTAAATTAATATTTTTGCTCGAGTATTATCTAATGTGGTATTCCTTCGTGCATTTAATGTAACACAAATATATTTCCTAAATAATATGATTGGTAACGTTTAAAGAAATGTAATTTAAGTAGCAGACGAGGCCATCAACCAGGGCCACCTAGATAGGGAGTAGACATGCAGACAAACAAAATGTCGCCGTAAAAACGTTGTTTTTAACGAGTGTCGTAGCGTCCAGTCGAAAAAACGTATTACACAATATAAGAAAGCATTTTTACCTGTCTATCCTCCTTCTTCCTGCAAATAGCTCAACTTTCATACTGACATACGGACAAAGAGTTTCTTCAAAGTCCAGCCATTTTGAAAGAACGAATGTTGATCAGTTTGTTTACAAAATTATTTTCAAGTTCTCGAGTAGTTTAAAGACATTATTTTCACGTACACACGTTACCACACATCTTCCACACTATTATTTATCACACGTTTTCACGACAACTACACAATTACTCCATTTTTACGTTTTTCTTCATGCTGTTCCACACACGTCCACTTTCGAGGGTCTACGTATTCGTTCTACTTCGGCCGATACCCGTTTGACGTCGCTACTTGTATGGAAATTGAGAACGAAAATCGAATCGTATGCGGGTCGCCTGTTGTTTTATTTTGAGCAACGCAATTTAAAAAAAATCTACTGGTGCATATTGTGTTAAATACACGTAACAATTTATATAAATTATATTTCACAAAAATAATTTGGCGTGTTTATTAAGTGCTACCTTAATAGGAATGATTTAAGCAACAAGTGTGATAAAACTACGTAGACTCGATATATTTAAATTTAAAATAGATATTTAAACAAGGCTATTTTTATTTACACTTACAGGTATTTTATCGAATAATAATTTAGATAACAGTTTCGTTACTGACTTATGGCGAACTAATTTTATTAAACTATTTAAAAACGTTTAAAAGCAGTAGGCGTCTAATGTATCATTGTTGTATATTGTAACACAACACTTTCACACCACTTGTACACAACCATAATAATCTGCAGTCTAAAAATGTGTCAAAATAGCATTGCTTTGCTGGTAAAAATAAGAACAAACGCTGGCGAAATCTGAAATAACACATATTCTTATGCAACGTGCGCCTTTGTGTTAGTCCACCAGCATTGCGCCGTTGTGAAATATGTTACAAATTGCCTACCTCCTTGGGGTTATTAGATGATGTCACGGGTCACGCTGATTCATACTGCGTATTTCCCAGAAGGGAGGGAATTCCATTGAAGGCATTTTGCTTTTCCTAGTAAGGTGCTGTGATTTGTTTTTATTTTTACACCGTTTACGTAACATTCTGTAATTTTCTCTGTTTGATGATAATTGGAAATGTAGGTAGGTGTTATCATTCAATATAGTAATAATATTTCAGTTCTATGAAAATTGTTTTTAAAATACATAGGTTTGAAAATCAGTAAGGTTAATACGATTAATAAAAAAAAAATGTTCTGAATTCTATCTCATGTTATATCGTTGACTGCTTAGTAATTTAAATGTTGGGAGTGGAATACTATTGTTAAAATCGATGATCTGATGTTATATCAAGAAAAAACTCCGATACAGATGTTATTTATATGTATAATTTATTGAGTTCTAAACTTCCAAATCAATAAAGACATTTATTATATACAAATGAGTGTCTAGATATTTCCTTCTGTTAATTTAGAAAAAATAAAAGCAATTCGGATTCTTATCTGTGTAACTACTAACGATGAGATATAAAAGGAATAAAAGAAAATTTTTGTACGAGCTTTATATAAAATGCTTAGCCATATGGACATAGAGCGTGGTCTAGATTGTGTCCTGAATGGGAAAAACTTATTTATTGTTTAATATATCAGAACATCTCATTGTTTATAAAAATTGTGATTTATTGCATACTTGATTTTCGATTTAAGTGACCCCAAGCAAAATTGGGAGTGAAAATTACTACATCCATTCCTAGAATTACGTTTGCGGATATAATAAATTAAAGCTACTACTATTTGAATGAAATTGGTTAAGCTGCTTTTTTACAATTAAAATAAATAGATTTTTTTTAAATTCTGACACCATAAAATGAGGCTTTTTCGTGTTTATATGAACTATTTTTGTTGAATTGTGACTTAAAATCCGGTATTAATGTCTGGTTAAGCATTTTAGTTGCACCCCGTATAATGGAGTCATTGAATGTGATATGCGATACGTGATATAAAACAACTTCTAGTAACACAAATTCATTCATAAACGCTAAATCGTAAAACAGTTACTTAAATATTTGTAGTGGGAATTGTATGAGTATCTGTGATAGGTTCTACCCCCGGGAAATGAGCTACAAGGACTTCTTTGAGGAACTGTAAAATACGTCTAATGTAATTTGATGACGATATTTGTTTTGTTTGGTATAAGGGAGAATTTTAGTCTTTTAATTCAATTATAATTAAAGCAATATATGTACAGTGTGTCCAAGATAAGGATAGCATTAGGATCTAGGAAACGGTATAAGGTATAAAAAACACAACTTTTTTTCTAATTTGAGCCACCCCGTATCTCTTGCCGTTTCCTAGATCCTAATGCTATCCCATCCTTATCTTGGACATAATGTATAACTTTAATCCCGAAAACATTTTCTATGCAATTAAACTTTATTTCTTTATTTACTCACTCAAAAGTGAATACATGCAATGAAATATACACTTACATATTTCACAAAATATTAACATTCATTTTCATGTTTATTTAAAAATTAAATATCAATTAATAAAATAAACAAAGTCTTGCCCTATTGATGTTGTTTTCTAAATGTATGTGTACAGTACCGGAAACTAATTATTCTAGAGATAAATAATAACAAATCTAGAAACAGATTTCAATGTCTAGAGTCTTGTTACAGAACGATGTCATATGTTTATTTATACCATCATAACCTTTATCTGTGTATACCAGTAGCGGCTCGTGAAAATTAAAATGGTCGTATTTTAACAGTAAATAGTGGAAGCGAAGGGTTTTTTAGGTTAAAAAGTTTCATAAGAAATTCGTAATCAGCTGATGGATACAAACATCCGAATCAAATGAAATTTCTCTAATATGTTTTTATATTTTAATATTTTCAAAATTTTGCTATTCTTTGAATGTCATGTGATCTAGAAATGGTCGTAAAAATAGTTACAGTTACAGGTATGGTATGACTGTTTATAAAATGCGATAGGTAGATATTAAAATAATAATGATATACTTAGTTCTGTTACACTTTTATTACTTTACTAATCTTCTTTGACCTTTTTAAGAAGTTGGTACCTGATGCTCATAGAAATTTAAAATGTATCATAAGGATTTGTTTGACCCCTCAGTGGATTAACTTGCCAATGTGCCAAAAACTCGTAAAATCAGTAGACACAACAATAAAGTTGCAGACCTGATTTGTATTTATTACAAAATAATTGTATGTAGTTTACCTGTAATGGAGACAGTCTGAGCTATAATAAGGCATTGGTGCAGGTACCTTTTAATAAGGTTATTTGCAAGAAAACTTTATAACAGCAATTATTTATTTGCAAAATTGGTTTCAAGGTTTTAGATGAGGTTATAGAATACTTTTTTTAACATATTTTGTTTCTTTCTTTATCTCTGATAGGGCAAAGGTACATGTATCTATTCAGAAGGTAAATCTCAACAGAAAAATATATTTGCAATCAGTTAAGAAATTTTTTTCTCGAAGAGTTTTTGTGGCGTAAATGTGTATCCGCTAAGTTCTGTAGAATTATATCTTTATCAAGTTTTCTAGTTACTAATATACTGTAATTTAATAATTAAGGAATTTCAAGCAAACGTGGCATCCACCTGTCTCTGCAGACTTACGCGACTGCGACGTCGCTAATTAGTAAGAAGATATAGAAATCTGACAGACGTATCACTTAGCTACTTTGAAAGTTAAAATGTGTAAGTCATGCGCATTTTCTTGCCAATCCATTCTAATTAATGGTTGACTGGGTTGCTTGCATTGTCAAACAACCTCCTTTTTTTTTAATTTGAAATTTGTGAAATTTTATACAGAAATATTTTGGTTGTGTATAATTTTTTGAGTCTTTTGTTTACCGATTTAATAAATAGCCACCTAAGATATTGTAATTATTATTTTTACTGTATTAAATTTGTTTTCATATTTATAAAAAATATGATGATGGGTATGGGATTTTAGATGCTGAAATTGTCCCCTATTTTCTTCTATGAAATTTCATTTTTCTCGAAAATGGTACATGCCACCGAATTTCAGCAAGTATACCTTTTTTTTGTAGTATGCTTTAGAGTTTACAGAACCGTTTAGAAATGTTATAAATTTAGAATTTTAACATTTTTTTTTTCGATTGTACCCTCCAATTACCTGCATCGGCGACACTGCTTTTCAGAACAAAACATATCTCGAAAACAAGGCGTCTAAGAAAAAAACTTTACATGAACTACCTCTATTATTTTTCCATGAGGAACTTGCACACGATTTTTTTAATATTTAAAAACAAAACAAGTTTCGAAATTGTATAATGCAATTTAGATTGGTACTTTAAGTATAACTGTTACTAAAAATCACTAAAATTGACTAATGAATTCAAACTTAATTGCCTCCAATTTCTTGCTAATTTATTATAGCTAGGAAATATTTCTCAATTTATGTATTACATGAACTTGGGCCAATTTCTTGATTAATTTGTGGATAAAAAAATTGGTAATTGTAAAACACTGATTTCATGAAAAAATTATTGTCGAAAATTGTTAAAACTCGTGTGATAAAACTCCATACTTACCTCATGAAAAGAAGCACACGTGCATGCCCATACCGGGGCATTTCCTGGACAAAATTATGAGTCCAATCAAAATAGGGGCACGCGATCCCAAACAAGTCTTTCATTCCATTGAAATTGACACACAATTATTAGCTTTAACCATACGTTATGGATATGTTTTATATCGAAGGGGTTTGTTTCGACCCCCTGCATTGTCTGTGCGGTTTAATTAGTGCTATTTCTCGTAGAAAATTAATTTTATAGTGGGTGGTTTACCGGTGACAGTCCAGCTGTTCCAATATTTCGTATTGTTTAATTGAATATTCGACAGTTAAATCGAAGAAGGGGTTTGAATTGAATTGACATTACGATCCAAATGTTTTTTATAGTAAAGTTGAAAGGGTAACTCGATCCGTAGATTTCTAGCAAAACGATATTACAGAAGCTTTAAACGAGTGTTATTGTTTGTTTGGAAAGCGATGACTAATCTGTAGAACAATAAAATTAATTCTGCCACCAAACAATTTACACAAAATGAGGTAATTCGTCAATATTTGTAAGTGTAATATCGACGTGTGTCAGTTATCTTAAGATTATTAGTATTAATTCGCATTTTAAGTAGTATTTTATAAACACTTCTGTTTTTTTTCCTATGAAATAATTACTTTTGTGCGTCATAGACTTGGAAAATTCAGATTAATTATTTTAAAATAAAGACTATTCATACTTACCACCTATCTTTTATTTGATCTAACCAATTAAGTATATAGTGTTATGAAAAACAATGTACCTACGTATTTCTGTCTTCCAAGGTAATGTAATTATTTTTAGAATTACCCTTAAAAAAATAAACTGCTCTTTAAGTTATTTGCAACTTTTTTAATTATAAGCAGTCATACTTGAGCTTTACAAATTTTTTCTAATTAATTTTAGTAGTTTAAGTGCAATAAAAATATGTATATTGGTAAAAGGTAAAATGTAATGACATCCATATTAGAAACAAGACTTTTATAAACAACTGTTGTATTTTTTTAATTAACAGAGTTCCTGTATATAATTATGAAGTACACTTTTTGAGGCAGGCTTACACATTATAGAAAAAATATTTTGACACGTAAATTCTTAATGGTCAATGGGTGAAGTAAAGAAATACTTAATACCAAAAATAGAGCAATTCTTTTGAGTCTAAAATTAAAATACTGTTGATCAATTTATGACAAGGAGTTCAATTTTTTTATTTCAGGAAACTTTGCAAAAACCGCAGCTTTCTGTCCTTAATAATAGTCGAGATACTCTTTATGTTTGTTACTAGGGCATCTGCACATAACGTCACATTGATCAAGGTCGTTGCTTGAAGAATGAAGACCTTTGCTTGAATTGCAGTTGTGATCTATTTATTAAATCTATTTCCTTTAAATAGAACATTTTTAGAACATTAGAACATTTTGGAAAGGATTGCAGTGGTATAAGTTTTGACAGATCTGTCTCTAATAATAGGGAAGACATTGCCAAAAGAGTAGACTAAAGAAAAAACTCTTTGGACTAATTCGTCCATATCTCTTTTCTTATTAGAGATATATCTACCAAACTGTGCTAATGTACGGTAATTGTAATGTTAACGAAGCGCTTTATTCGAATATGTAAAAATATACAGGGTGTTCTGTTAAAAACAACCATTTTTCTGAATACAAAAATAAAAAGCGCAAGGGGGATATGGATAAAAACCCTGTACGTCTATGACTAGACTTATAAAATCCTTAATAATTACTGGAAATTGGAAACTAAATATAATTTGTCTTTGATACTTTTCCTTGCTTCTGCTGAAATTGTTTTAACATTAAGAAACAGTTACTGCACTAATGATGAGTAAGATGTACCTAAATACCACCATATTTGTCCAAAATACGGATTTTACGACAAGGAAATCTGCCCAGACACATGTTTGGCTTTTTGTAAAGGCTCCCCCGTCCCTCGGATTCAACTGTTTACGGGCAATAAAGCCCGGGCTAGACGGATTTGCAAGTTTACGATACCACAGGAGCCTGGTAATTGCCATGAGCATCAAAGGCCACCCCGTCAAGACCCAATGTGTCTTGAGCCAGTCAATGGAAATTAGCAGTCCGATTTGGATCCTGTGCCACCGTACAGTCAAGTGTTTTGTGGACGGTCTCTTAAGTCGGTTGCTTGTACTTAAGTTAAACAGTTCATGCTCGGAGAGTTAAGATAGTGCATCATGACTGTTTTAAAAATGTTCGGGCTATTTATATTTTTGATAGTGTTTTCTGGTGAGTGTCTTTTTGATCTCTTAATGTCAGCGCATGCCGCAGTTCGCTCATTTCGGTTGGGCAAACGTTTTATTTTAAATATAAAAAGTAGGGTATAACTTTTTTAACAAAAATATAGTGCATCATATTTTTTAATGACATTTCCTACGTACGCTATAACTTACTAATTAATTTTAAGATTTTTTTTAAGAGAACGTAAATTTAGATTTAAAACAAGCACATGTGCGGTGTTGTAAAACTCACATTTTTCTATAACGAGACAAAACTAGCTATTTCTGTCAACGATTTGGGTCTACAAATAAACCCCTATTCATTTAAGAAACTCAAAGTGATTTTGGGCTTAGAATACTTCAACCTAACAAATTAGAAGCCTTCTCTTCATTCACTAAAACTTGATTGAGAAAATTTCGCCTTGGTTTTGAATATAAAAAATATTGATATTAACAAGTTCAACGGTATGAGCAAAATAATATTTTCAACATGCAAATAAATTACTGTTGTTCTGTGGACTGACACACATTATTTTTTATAAGTGCACTTGTGTATGTAAATAATTTAATGTGGTGTGTAAATTTTGTTATTGTTTTTTTGGCGCTTATTATTAGCGTTTGCCAAATAGTTATTACTAGAGAGACACCTCTTCAAACACCACGAGCGCATTGTGTTTATTAAATTACCGCTTCAAGCTAGAAAACATCATAAAAAAATTGATACGTCTTCTTTCAAAAGTATGTCAAACAGAGCAAAACTTATTCAAAATTAAAAAAGAGATTTTACGAGTGAATTTTCAATGATACAGTTATGAAATCTTACAATTGGTGCTGCATAAAAAATCTTTGACCTGCCCTTGTTGTTCTCGGGCTAGGATCTGTAGAGGCAGATCCACTGCCCGAGAAAAAAAATCAGGGGATAATTCTAAAATAAATGCAACCTCTTTCTATAACATTTTTTCCAAAACTACCCCTAGTTAAATTTTATTTGCAGTTTTTCTGCAATACCTTTTGCCACACTCATAATATTTTGACGAAATTTCGTATATGGGGGTTTTTCGGGATGAGGATTATAAATTTGCCCACCGTTTTTTCGCATTTTGTAGAGGGCGTCACATACGAGATTTGAATGGTTCCAACGTTTTTGTGCTACACTTTATGCGAAATTTGACTGAATATTTTTGTTCTCCTAACCTTTTGACATAAAAAAGGTATACTTTATTTGTTTCGATAAATCTAACCGTTTTCGAGAAAAACACTAAAATAACATTGCTTGTTTGTGATGAATACGAAATCATTTTAATTTATTTTCTACATTAAACATAGCATGCTTTGGAAACAAGCGCTTAGTTGCCTTGGAAACAAGTAAATTTAACTTTAACACCCTGTAACTCCGTTAATAATCAGTTTTGGAAAAAATATTAGAAAAAGGTAGGATTTATTTTCGGTCTAAAATTATCCCCTGAATTTTTGACTCATCATTTCCGGACACTCTGTATTACCATTAGCTCAGATTTATCAAGGCGATATTTTGAACTGGACTCTAGAATCAAGTATATGATAGATATCCAATGAATTGAGAACAATATAATATAATATAAGCTTCTGACACATCATAGTAATCTTTTTTGTTAATTTGATACATAATCATGCATTTTAGTTACCCTGTATATATAATTGTGACCTGCTACCGAATGTTTAGCGTATAAGAGCTTGAAAAAATAAACAGTAAACAAGTTTTCTTTTAGTTATTAAGTCAATAAGAGGTTTGTAGTGCTGCCAACAAAGGACAAGGGTATTATGTAATCCTCTTTAAAATGTTTGTGCTGGGATGATGGTTTTATAAAATTTAAACTAAAAGATTACAGTCATCTAGGTATACCTAATGAGTTTTAGTAAAATAGTGATATATTGTTAAGTTTCTTGTTGAAACTGATATCAGACAGATGGGTGAAGAAAAAACGTTTGTAGCATTATCTCTTGTAGTGAAATTACGATTTACTGTGACTGGTAACTTCATTATTTTGACCTACGTTGTTAAAAAAGTTAATAGGTGTCGTCTCCTACAGTGATAGCATCATATAGCAAAGTTGAGTTTCAAATTTATAAAATAATTTGCCTGTGAATGTGAAATAAAAATAAATATAGTGAAAAAATAATAAATAACTATTGTTATATGTATTCAATTTATTAAAACCGTTTCTGTTATGTATGTACAATGTGTTACATTAAATCCAATATAACGGATATACTTAATGATAATTTTTGAATTATAATCTTATTATTTAAATACGATGGCGATAAGGAAGTGATTAAAATAATTAGTTTAAAAAATTATGCAAATTTGGTGGTTTTGTATTTCCTCTATATTATCTAAATACGTTAAATCTAATTATTTTTCGAAACTGCTACTGCAAAAATAATCTGTTCCTTAATGCAATTTTTTATTGTGATGTTAGTGACATGGTATGAAGTGGAAAGATTTAAGTACATCATAATGCTAAGGAATATGCACTATTATCTTCAAAATGTTCATATATTTAGGTATCTCTTACTTTCCATTGTCCCTAAATATATAAAACAAGATTCCAGTGTCACTTATTCACCGCTTAATTATGTTTTAATATTTTTCTAATCAGAATTTCCCATATTTCCATAGCAGGTAATTTATAAGTATCAAGTTAAACTACGTTTAAAAACATGTCGTTATACGTCTGTGCTCTATCATCGTGTACATTTCTACTATATAGTTAATAATCACGAAACCTCAATTTTGTACCAGATTGTGTTTGAGAGGGTGATTTACTTATCAAACTAAATGTTACGTTGATACCAACGAAGTACAATAATTTTTCTGTACGAGAATTGTATTGATTAACATTTTAATCCCACTGAAAATGGCTTGAGAAATTTCGTTTCATATAGGCCCTTCAAGTGTAAATTAAACACTTAAGTGAACCTCTGACTGAACAGAGGGAAACATGACTATAATAAAATTGATAAGAATGCATGATACAATGTTAACGCTCATATATGTATGTATATTGGACTATAAATTAAATACGTAAAGATTGAGTTTTCATATATCTCTCTGTATATCCCTTACATCAAAACAAAATTTTGCCAGTGAAACATTTTAATGTAATATATTTCTGTATGAAAACTTTTGGTATTATATTTGTCTATAACAGTGTAATGAATTAACTGTTAATAATAAAATAGACAAAGGTGATGTTTGAAACTGAATTATTTATACTTAAAACTTAATTATAAAACAAATATATAACAATAAACAATTCCTGTAATTCGAAACAAAATGTGTGACTCAAGTTTTTACGCTGTATTATTTTCTGCACATATTTTTATTAGTGTTTTGGTATCACGATAATTTAATGTAATCTAAGTAACGGAAAATAGGAAAGCCTTGCGTTAATATCGACGAGAAGTCTTGACAAAAACAGTTTACAACAGTCCCATGCGTATTTTACTTTCTATTTTCTAAAATTTGACCATTATTTCTATAGTTTCAACATCTGTTTCCTAAGAAAATAATAAATAATAATAAATTCTAGACAAGTGGCCGGAAATGTTTTGGTTAAACTTAAATTGACCATTGTGTTCATCGAGAAAGATTCCTCGGTCTAGAATCTGTAAAAATATTTTTTGTTTTCGTTAACATCATGTACAGGGTGTACGGGAAAAAAAAATGATTTAAAATATTTTCAAGTTTGTAACTTCGCCGCTAGAGAGTGCAACTGCTATAGTGTTACAGAAAATTGTCGTTTTTTCGAAATTTCGCTTATATAACCTAAGTTGTAAATACACTTTTTATATAAACTGTTAAACCCTTCGTAAGTTTTGTTCGAACTTTTTTTTGTTATTACCATAGCAACGCCAGTATAAAGGACGCCATCTTGCAATTTTTAAATTGCCATAACTTCTAAATGCCTTAATCGATTTCAAGAAACGACGGCTCCTTTTAAAGCACTATCAATAACATTTATTTTTATGACATGGGAATAAAAATATTATTTTCCTGCGCAACGGTAGACGACGCTAATAAGAAAAGTTTTGTAATTGTTTCCGTTTACTAAAAAATTTTTTTTGATAACTGCAATGTTACATTTTTTTTATTAATTCCAAATATCTGAGTAGTAATAAAGATTATTATTGTTTCCAATAACGAGGCAGTCTATTTCCTATAAAAATATACAAATATAAATTATGTTAAACGACATGTGACAGCTCTTGCTTCGTGCAAAATTAGTGTCATTTGTGTGAGAAAAGTACCTGTGTTCCATATGAAATTCCTAGGTCTCTAACTAATTCCTTAACACTTATTTGGGGATTTACATGGAGACAAACCAACACAATAATATTATCTTCCATTCTTGCACGGCGATGTCTTTTTACAGAATGTAGTGGTATCTGGCTAAACGCTGAAATACTTCTCTGGAGTGGCGTATCCTACCAGGCTAACGCAAAACGTATTCTTTTGAAGCTATAATGGCATTTTGCAAATAAACTGTCAACATATCATACGCTTCCACATTCGTAAAAGGTATTTTCCTTGTTCACAAGTACTTTTCCAACACAAATGACACTAACATTAATACTAATACTAATAATAATACTACTAGCTGTCATATTTCATTTGACATAATTTTTCAGTTGTCTATTTTTATAGGGCATAGCCTGCCTCGTTATAGAAACAATAATTTTTATAAATACTCATATATTTGGAATTAATAAAAAAATGAAACATTGCAGTTATCAAAAAATTTTAAAATATAGCAACTACTTTTTTAAAGACAAGCTTGGTATAGAGAACTAAATAAAGGAGGGTGTTCTAGCACAACTTCACTATTTTAGCAATAACTTGAAAACGAAAAAGATATCGATCCGGTTTGTGAATTTGTTTTCCTTAGTAAATGGTCTATCAAGCCATGATAAAAACCTATATCGTTGCATTTAAATTTTTTAGTAAATGGATACAATTTTAAAACTTTTCTAATTAGCGTCATCTACCGTTGAGCAGGAAAATAATATTTTTATTCCCATATCAAAAATAAAAATTTTATTAATAGTTCTTTAAAATGAGCCTTCGTTTCTTGAAATCGATTAAGGCATTTAGAAGTTATGACAATTTAAAAATTTTAAGGCGGCGTTCAAGTTCAAACAAAACTTGTGAAGGGTTTAACAGTGTATTTAAAAAGTGTATTTTCAACTTATGTTATATAAGCGAAATTTCGAAAAAACGACAATTTTTTATAAGACTACAGCAGTTGCGCCCCCTAGCGGTGAAGTTACAAACTTGACAATATTTTAAATCAATTACTTTAAACAATAAGGCAAACACATATTATTTTAAAGAGATCTATCTGCTCTCGAAGATTCCTGCATAAAATTCGGACCACCCGGTATAAAGCCGCTCCATACCGTTAATGGATCACGCTGTATATTTTCGTCCCTCTTCGATTTGTTTTTTGTTTTTTGTTCTGTTTGCCTTTTGGTAATAATTCACTGTAAATTAAACACAGAATTTTACTCCAATATATTTATAGAGTTCATCACCTTGTTCGAACAGCGATTTCGTCGACGTACTTTTAATAATAATCAACAATAACGAAGTAGTCTCTCAAGAGACCTATACAGGGTGTCACAGACTAATAAGTTAAGTCGTTAAATTTGTCTTTCAGTGTGCTTTTTTTATTTAGGCGTGCCGTTTTCGAAACACGAGATGTTAATGTTAAGATTTTTAAAAACGATTTTTATTATCAATTTCTTTTTCGTTCTTTTTCGTTTTCTAACATGCTGTGTTGAAATGTTCCACACGTTTATACGGTTATACCGTCACATTTTTGAGCAAGTTTGTTTACAAAAAATCAAAGCGCAAGGGGAGGAAATGCAGGCCGATACACTGACCCAGCAGTATATCGAATAGATATTATGCTGTTAGTTAAATATTTTTTCTTATTCGAATATTTTTATCATTGCAAATAGAAAAGTAGTTCTTTACATGAGCTATTTATTTATTATTTTTTGTTATTTCCTTCAGGCCTCCTCAATGGTTTCAATTTCCTTAAACAATCGCTAAAATTAATTAATGGCAACGTCATATGGAGCCCCTGTTAATACTTGTACTTATTTCTTTTTAAATATTTCAAATTCCAACCTCAGTACTATAAAAAACATACTAATAAAAATCACGTTTATAATCTTTTGAACACCCTGTATCGTGAAAACGAGACTCCCAAATTAAAAATGACGTGATGAAAGTTCCATTATCTTAACCCAAGAAATATGTGGTTATCCCATTGAACCATTAATTAGTGACACCCTGTAGATTAACAGTAACACATTAAAGAAAATACTTATTGTGAAGCAAAAACACTTATTACAGATGATCTAGAATTTCGTACACAAATCTTTCTTTTCGTTGGTCACAGTCGATTGGATAAAGTGGCATCATCTAAAGAAATCTCTAAAAATTTAACAATTCGTCATCTTACCTCATCTGTCCCCTATTGTTTTCTTAACAAATACTAGAATCTAATGCGTTTTGTGTTCACAGAGTTAATACCGGGTGATTCAGTAACATATGTTAAAATTGCTATAGTCAACTGTTTTTGTTCACATGGCACACTATATATTTTTTATACACTATATAAAGAAGTCTATAGTTTCATTATATGCTATATTATATTGCTAGAATAACAGCAAAAAAGATGAACCTTACTTTTAGTAGCTTTATTCTGAAAAATGATAGTCAGCTGAGGAAACAACTGAATTTTGACGTTTCTAAATAACGGTTTTTCAAAATAATTGACATTTTGTACCTACCTATTCTATCCATAACTAATTATTATTACTATAACATGAATACTTATAGTAACCAAGAAAAACTAGATATGATTTTAACTTATGGAGAGTGCTAAAAGAACGCTAAAGCTGCCAGGCATTTGTACCAACATCGTTTTCCGCAGAGACAACTTCCATCACATAAAATTTTTGGAAAGCTAGCCAGGAATTTGGCAGCATGTGGTTTTCAAAAGAAAAGATCCAGAAAACCACCCAGAAGGGTAAGAGATGAAGAACATTCGATAAAGATGTTAAATGGCCTGCTATAGATCTCTGGATCTCATTCCTATAGATTTCTATCTTTGGCCTTACCTAAAAGAAAAAGTTTACTTTTCGCCTTTAAATTATATTGACAATCTTAAAAACAGAATAAGAGTAGAATGTGTTTGTAGACAGGGAGTGATAAACAGAGCTATTTTGTGTTTCTAAGCAAATGAAGGTCATTTTGAACATTCGAAATAAGTATTGTTTTAAATTGTTATATTATTATCGTATTAAAAACAAAATATGTTACTTTAAAAAACATAGTAACTGTTTCGCAGCTGGCTATCATTTTTCAGAATAAAGCTACGAAAAGTAGGGTGCATCTTTTTTGCTGTTTTTCTAGCAATATTTCTAATGAAACTATAGACTTCCTTACATAGTTGAACGCAGAAAAAAAGTATCTTCCAGAATTGGTAAAAAAATATATAGTGTGCCATGTGACCAAAAACAGTTGACTATAGCAATTTTGACATATGTTGCCATGAAGACGATTTAATAATGTCATTTGATAGAGTTTGAGCAGCGATTTAAAAATATATAGGGTTTGTTATAGTTATTTGTTAAAATAAAAGAGATACAGGGCCGCGAATACCAAACTGAATCACCCGGTATAATTAATTTCAATTGATTTTGCTAGTTAAAAAGTTAGTTTACATTTTTTATATTCAAATAAGTTTGAACAAAGCCTGCAATTATTTTTGAATAATATAACAATAATAATAATAAATAAATTGTGATTAACAAGTTAAGAAAAATATAACATTTCTAACATTAAATATCTATTACATTTTAAACGTTTGCGATAGTATTCGTTTGGTCCCAACGAAAAATAAGCCGTATCTCAGTCGTCTAACAAGTGTACTGTGTGTGTTCACCCACATCCTAATTCATTCAATAGCAAAATTGATCGTCGTTGTTTGTTATTATTTATTAAATCGTCATAAGAGAATAATTCAGCCATTTGAACCACAGCATTTCCTTTTGGTTCGAAAACAAGTAGGCCGTGCGCGTAAGATTTTAACTTAATGCATTTCGTCGGTTTAATTTATCTGAGTATTTAAACGGGACAATCGATACACTTGAATATTTATTTTCTTGTCATTTTCCAGATACAGGAGCCCAGATCACAGAACCCGCCTCGGCACAATCTACAATCCCAGAAGATCCAGATGGTAAGGCTTTATCGGGGCACAGTTCCGAAAACATATCCCACATTAACAGCGACAAGCTGAACGGCCATTTTGAATCAGAAACACTTGAAGTTTTACCGAATCGCTACGAGAAATCAGCCGAAGATTATAGTGCGGAAGCGAGTTATGATAGTACGACGGTATCTGAAAATTCTCAGCCTTCTGATATTTTATTTGACTTATTAAGTTCGACTGATAGGGACAGTTACGATGAAGGGACGACGACAAAGGATTTGACAGATGGTTTCGAGCACCAAGATGTGATAAACGAGTCCGCCACATCTGGCAATTTTGCCGCGGCCAGTGGGGAATACTCATCGGAGATAGCAGCGAAAGAAAATGAAACTGTGACTGAGAACTACTCTGTGGATGACTACGAAGGTAGGTAGTTTACTGCAGACGTCTGTAAGAACGAATGCTAGAAAAACATCATAAATCTTAGAATCAATATTAAAATATAACTATTGTTCAAGGAATCGACGAAAAGCTTTAGTTTTTCAAAAACTAAAGAATTAATACAATGAAGGGTTGAAGAATATAAATTAACAATCTGCACATTTCCTATTTATCTAATTCAGAGTACATATTGTTGAGAAATATCGCTCAAATACAAATAGTCATAATAATAATTATTATTTAAGAATAAAATTCAAAAGAACAAGTTGCGATATCGACAATGAAAATAACTTTGTTTGTCTCTAAATTACAGATTCTAATGATGGAACAACCGAGGAAGACATTTTTTCTGCTTCTGATTTTGAAGGCGAAGATGATAAAACATTGTTTGGTTCGAATGACTCCTTCGATGACGACTTATCGAAACAGGAAGATATAACAACAATATCCTACAGCTCGACTATATTAAACGAGATCGAACAGCTGTTTACAAAGAGTACTTCTTCTTCATCCCATATTGACGTAGCGGAGAACGACAGTAACTGGGAACATACTTCCGATGTGAAATTAAACAGAGAATACACCAAAGAAGTTGAAAAAAATGAAAGTGAAATGCCCACGGAAGCAACAAAAGAGTCGGGAGATACCACGCCCAGTTATGGAACCACCTCGCAGCTGCCAGAAATAATAAAATCAGTAATTTCACCACAGTTATATGATACTGTGATTGCAAGTGATATTGATGGCACCACTGTTAACAGTGAATTTTCTATGACAGAAAATAATGAAATCAAAAATAATTCGGAAGATGTGACAACATTTAACCATGAGTCGACTTTACTAAGAAAGATACAAGAACCCTTTACAAAGAGTTCTTTAGAATCTTCATTCGATATTGGTTTAAAGCAAAATGACAGTGACTGGGCATATGTTTCCACTGTGAATAAAAACGGAAAAGACGTCGAAGAAGATGAAAACAACTTTGGTAGGGAAACTTTTACAGAATCAACAAAAGATGCAGAAAATAACAACATAGAAATAACTCCCAATTATTTTGGTACCACCTCACAACTGCCAGAAACTTTGGAATCATTGATTTCCCTACAATTAAATGATACTGTAATTGGAAGTGGTACTGATACTGCCATTGATAACAAAGAATTTTCTACAAAGGCAAATGATGAATTTAAACATACTTCAGAAGATGTGACATCATATAGTTATGAGTCAACTTTATCAGAAGAGATACAAGAACAATTTACCTCGGAACCTTCATTCTACATTGATATAGACAAGAACAGCAACGACTGGGAATATGTTTCCAATGTGACAAAAAGCACCGATATCAACGAAGATGAAAACAATTCTGATGGTGAAATTTCTACAGAAGCTACAAAAATGTGGGGAGATAACAAGATTGACTTAACGCACAGTTATTATGGTAGTACTCCACAATTACCAGAAAGCTTTGAACATGCAATTTCGCCACAATTAAATGATACTGTGTTTGAAAGCGGTATTGATACTGCCACTCTGAAGGAAAATGATGAAGTTTCAGCAGATGTGACAACAGTACCGTACAGACATGAGTCCACTTTATGGAAAGATATACAAGAACTTTTTAAAAAGAGTTCTTCTGAAGCCACATCGCAAAAAATTGACATTTCTTCCAAATATGGTATTCAAACTACTGGTAGCATTGAATATTTAGATACTTTGGATACAACTGTTAAAAGCTTGACCAAAAATACTAAGGAAGTAAATACTTCAAAAATTTATAAAAATATTGAAGTAACTGATATCCCAGCAGAAGTAACTGAAGAAATTGGAGAATCTGCAGACGAAAATATAACCGCAAGTTTAGCTGATACACATAATGTCTATAGAAAGAGTTCTGCTGAATATGAATATTCAGATAAACAAAATGAGTCTGATTCCGTAGAAAGTACAATAGTCAACTTTTCTAAATTTTTAACACGAGATCTTACGCTCAGTACAGTGCAGGAAGCTGACAATGGGCTGACAACTGACATAAACTTTTATAGAAATAGTGAAACTGACAATCAGAAAAATGCAGATGCTTTAAATTTTGATGAATATACGACTCAACAATCGATAAATTTTTCAACTATAAATGTTGTCTATCAAGACAATTCAGAAGAAGCCATGGAATCAACTGAAGATTATAATACTGAAACTACTGTCAATAATGAATATGCAATTAAGACTTTGGAGGAAACTAATACAAATCTTTCGTTAACTGCTGAAGGAGGTGACCAAAATTTAGAAAATGAGCCAATTATTTTAGATTCCATAAATAAAGAAGAAAGTCTGGAAAACACAACGTTAATAAATGAGGAAACTCTTAACCATTTTACGGACAACTTTAGGGATGATACTACAGAGGAAATTACAACTACAACAGTAGCTGACAGTGGGGCACATCACGATGAATATTTTTACAAAAATCATGAAACCACTATAACTACTGAATATTCAGTTACAGTTTTTAATGAAAGTAATGAACACATTTTAACAACAAGTAAGGGTAATAATTTAAGTGGCGAAGAGGAAAATGATATTCCAATAAAAGCAAAAGAAGGAGATGAGAAATTTTCGGAAGAGGTAGTAGAAAGTACTACTGAAATATACAAAGAGACAACAACAACGTCCTTTTACGAAGCAAGTTCTAATGGATATAATTACAATGAAAAAGAAGAAAGCGAATCTGTGGAAGGTACATTGATATTAATAAAAAAGGAGATCACAGTTAACTTTAAGGACAGTACAACAGAAGAGATTATGTCTACTACAGAAATTGACAGCAACGCTGAGGGTAACTTTTCTAAAGACTATGAAATAAAAGAAGCAACCAGTTATGAAAAAAGTACATCTGTATCCACAGAAGAAGAAACTGCTACTACAGAAATTGATAATAAAACACTTAACGATACTGAAAATAATACAGCAAAAGAAAATAATGGTTCAACAGAAGTAAGTGAAGATAGCGAAGTTTTTTCAGAAGATAATTCAGAGGAAATTAATGAACTAACCTCCCGAAGAACTGAAACATTTGCTTATTTTGGTTATAGTGATGAAACTATTGTCAGTAATGAAGAGACAGTTACAGCTTCTACAGAGAACAGCGAAGGTATTTTAACAACTATTAAAGACTACCTAATAGAAATTAGTGGAGAAGATAATCCTTTACACAATTCTACAGATAAGGAAAATGACACAGATAAGCAGCCTTCTAATGTGAAACAAGCTGTTTTTGAAGAAAGTACAGCCATATCAATAAAAGAAGAAATTAGTAATGACAGTAATGGGACTGAGGAAATTATATCTACTACTGAAATTGACACGAAAACAGAAAGCAATGGATACTCTTCAACAGTTATTGTAGGAGAAGAAACTGCTACTACAGATATTGATAATAAAACACTTAACGATACTGAAAATAATACAGCAGAAGAAAATAATGCTTCAACAGAAGTAAGTGAAGATAGCGAAGTCTTTTCAGAAGAAAATTCAGAGGAAATTAATGAGCTAACCTCCCAAAGAACTGAAACATTTGCTAGAGGTTATAGTGATGAAACTATTGTCAGTAATGAAGAGACAGTTACAGCTTTTACAGAGAACAGCGAAGGTATTTTAACAACTATTAAAGATTACTTAATAGAAATTAGTGGAGAAGAAAATCCTTTACACAACAATTCTACAGAGAAGGAAAATGAAGACACAGATAAGCAGCCTCCTAATGAGAAACAAGCTGTTTTTGAAGAAAGTACAGCCATATCAATAAAAGAAGAAATTAATAATGACAGTAATGCGACTGATGAAATTATATCTACTACTGAAATTGACACGAAAACAGAAAGCAATGGATACTCTCTAACAGTTATTGAAGATGCCACTGGAGGTTCTGATTATGTAACAGTTAGAAATAATTTCGTAACGACAGACAAATTCGCTGTTACTACGCAAGTTATTGAAGAAGTTACAATTGATACGCCTTCGTCGTCGATTTATAAAAGTGATTCGCGTTTGCTACTTACGGAAAGTAATACAGAAAACACTAATTTCACTGATAAAGATGACTATGAAGTGAATAAAATAGTATCAACATCTCATCGCACATTTTCTGTGAGCGATAAGGATGACAACGTCCCAGAAAATATGTCAACTGTATCCCCCATTAACACAGACAATGTTTATGTAGAAACTGGAAAAGAAAATACAGAAAGAATTAGTATTGTCACTACTACCGTTCTTTCAGTTGGAGATGGTTCAGATGGCTTTGAATCTGATACGATTAATATAATCGACATTGTTAATAATGACTTTACTAAATTAATCAACGATACGTCAGTTGAAAATGATTCATTTAGTATGGGTGATTCTTTAGAGGACTACTCCGATATTTCATCAAATGAAGATATAACCACAGAAACAGACGAAGAAGATTTAAACATTTCTTCGAATGAAGTTTTGGACACAACTGTTTCAAGTCTTTGGTCCACCTTTGGCACAGGTTCATTGGGCATATCCGTGGATGGAGAAGACAATGGTGTTAATCTAAGTTCGATTGAAAATGCAACTGCCATAACTTTGAGGGGATTTGTACCATACATACATGCAAATGTGTTCGGCAATCACCTCAATGTTAGCATCAAAATTGAAACTGAAGTAAGTGCTATAAATTCGCATAGAAACATACATATAAATACTTATTACGGAATTTATAATTAAAACATGTATTCCTACTAAAAGGAAAAATAGGAAATTAATTCAAATTAGGTATATATCGAATTTATATTTTAAAATATGTTTATGTACATGCTTCAAATTGCCTTTTTAAGTTTTGTTATAATTTCAGGATACTTCTTTCTACATCCCTTCCAGCGCTTACGTCGATGGGTTCTCGAATGAGAGTATCATCAACATAACTTGGCCTTCTACGAACAAACTGATAAACAATTCTCTCTCGCTCACATTGAAAGAAAATCTGGAATTTTACACTATCGAAAGTATTGAATTAAGCCTCCAACAAGGTAAATATTTCTCTTCACTCACATTACCCACTTTATTTTTAAACAGTAACTTATTTTCGTTTTTTTTTTGCTTAAGGAGGAGATACTTGGAAACATATTCAAGAAAATGATACCTTTGGCGAAACGGACCTCGAGATTGAATTTATGGGTGGGAGAGTAATTTTCTCTAATTTAGATTTCTTAAGAATAGTCGATGGTAACACGGAAATCCTTTCTAATGGTAAGTATTCAATGAGTACAAATCAAAATATATCCAAAATAGTAAGGCGAACAAGAATTCCAGAATAAAAAATTTAGATTGCCATTTCAATAAACAAAGTCCTCGAAGGGCTGTGATTTACTTGAAGCATTTTTTTCTACAAGATACGCCTGTAGTAATAGCTAGAGACTATCTTTTACCATACTTTAATACTTTATAATGTCCCTAAATTTCCTACTACATATGAATATCAAAATAATGATAAAAAATAATTTAAAAAATTGAACGAAAACACCCTTTACCTCAGCAAGGAGGCAGACTTTAGGTTCCATCTTCATACTTTGGATTATTCAGTTGGGACACTGTAAAAAAATCGGTGCGAGTGAAAGCAAGGTTGGTTCACTCAATATTGGGCATTTTGATCATTTTACTCACTTGTAATTATATTTAAACTAAAACTGAGGACTTTCACTCAAATATTCTCGTATTTGGTGCACTTGTATCTAAATCAGATGAACGTCCTCATTGCTGAGTGAATTTAAATGTATATTAATTTCGAGTAATTTGAATGGTGCCGTGAAGATGGCACCACTTACATATTACTTCTATAATCTCGACGAGAGTTGATAGAGGCCCGTTAGATGCTCCAGAAAAGCGTGTACCCCAGGAGAACAGGCCTTAGCTGGTGGCGGTGGGTCTCAGCTGGCGGGACTCAGCCAGGACAGGAGGAGGCCCCCGCGAAATGAATTAATTTCAACACTGAATACTGTATATCCTAATTTATCATTTAAGAGTGATTTATTTTTGCACTCAATATTTAGTTAATTAAAAACCAAGTCTGAGTAAAAAAAAAAGACTCAATAATAGTTAAATTTAAATCATATTAGAGAAAAAGTCAACTCTATATTGGTTTTATATACTCAGAATGGAGTCAAAACTCACTCAATTGACGGTTAGCAGTAACTGGGATTTGAGTAAAACTCACTCATTTCTGATGAAATAGTTTCACTCACAGTCAGTTGTACTCATACTAATAGAGTGAAATTTATTGAGTAAAATTTAGTGAAATTTGAGTGAATTTTTTTTACATTTTATATGTCCAATAATTATACCTGATATACTTTAACTCTTATTTTAACTCTTATTAACAAATACTTTATCACATTTTTTGTTTTTTTTTAGATATAGAGTTGGTACCTTCAGCGATAAGGATAGACACAAAGGAAATAGGAATTGCGATGGGGTGTGTAATTGCTGCCCTCTTCGTATGTGCCACAGTATATTTCATCGTAGCTAGGTCTAGGAAAAGGGTTGTGCATATCGAAAGTTTGACCAAACACGACATCCCGGTTTAACAGTTAAGAAACGAGAGTGATATTGTTAATATTAAATTTGCCATATTTATTGATATCTGTTAAATTCTAAATGTCTTTTTACGGTCGTTTGGCTCAGTGCTAAGAATCACTGCACCACTGTAAATAAACACGATGTTTAGATATGTATAAAACTTTTAAATGATTAAGACATTGTTCTTAGAAGTAAATAAAAAGGGGAATGAAAACCAAAGACTAAAAATGATGTACATATTCTTCCGTGTCAAATTTATGTATATATTGTAGGTTGACTGATTATTCAGTGTGATTTATATTTTTGTTCAAGTTAGATTAAATTTATTGGAGAGTATATTTTTACTCTTTCAATACGAGTGTATAATACATTTTTTAGCATTAAATGATGATTTGATTTATTGTTGTTAATAAGCTTTCAGCTTATATTCATAAAAGATTATTGCAGCATTAAAGAAAAAAATATATAGTATATTTTCTCGACTTTTTTTGATGAGTTAACAGATTTCGTAAGATTTTGTATTAGTTATATGTGAGTAGTGTCTGTATATATATTAAGTAATATGTTACAGCTATATTTTAGTGCCAGTTTTGTAAAGATTTTTATATTTTAATAAACGTGGTTAAGTTTAGACTTTTTATTATTTTTCTGAAAGAATCATTTAACTTTCAGACTATATTTAATTATTTATTGCGTTTTTTGTTACTCTTTATTTCATTAAGTAAACCTTGAATATGGGGCATTGCTGTACGTATAACATTTAGTTGCTGTCTCTGAGAATTGGTTTTACTTTCAATATTTTTAAGTTTTATCAACATTGTTTTGAATATTCATTGCATTTTTTTACAAATCCTATTTAATTTTTGAAAATTTGATCTTTCGGAGAAGTTAACTTTGCTTTAACATTTTGTTATTCCTTTCTTTAACACCATATGATGGATTGAATTGAAATTTAAATATTTATTAGTATTTGTCGGTTTCTATAAACATTCATTTCAACTATCATTATCCTTTTTAATTAAAATGTCCAAAAAAGGCAATTTTGTCTCTAAAAAGTCTCCTTATTTTGTCAAAAAACTATTTGTCATTCGGCCAAATTGCAAAAACATATTTTTATGAAATATGTAAATACAGGGTGATTCACAAATGGTGACCAAAAATTAAACCTCGTATTCTTCGGTAAATTTTAAGAGGCATCTTTCCTATAAAGTTTTTATATAGGATTAAAAAAATTATTAAAAAGATATCGGTCGATAGCCGCACGGTTTAAGGCGTCAGTACTTAAATCGATGTGTCGAACTGCCCGGGTTTCGAATCCCGCGGCCGGTGACCGTAGATTATCTATATTTGTACGGAGGATTGGCGCCCTCTGTGCAGGTATGGTAGGGTGGAAGAATGTTGGCTTGGGTCAATGTGAGAGATTGACACCGGTTGGCATTTGACCACCCCCCTAATTAATGAGGTTTTCCAGGTTTCCCTCATTCCTGCACTGAATGGTGGTTAGGGCCTACCAACATAAGTCGTTCCTGGGCGCAAATGCGGCCTGCGTAATAATAATATGCCGCCTCCTCTCCCGCACAAGTCTCCGACTTCTGGGCTAATTCTCGTAATTAGAATGAGGAGTAGAGATATTATTATTATTATTATTATATAACGTGTTAAACTTCAAAAAATATTTTTAATTTTTTTAATACTAGTTAAAAACTAGTTGTTTTTTAAGTTCTACTCGAAAATGAGGCTTTTTCGAAAAACATAAGAGAGTAGTAATTTGTAGAAAACTGAAAGGCGAATCAGAAAATATCATGGTTGTTACCGTAAAGCAGTGGCGTACTATTTTATTTAGAAAAATATACCACCGATACCTGTATCTCCGCCACTGGAGCATGTAAATTTTAGGAAAAGGCTCAGATTTTGTTCAATGTTTACATGTGCCCAATTTCAAGTTATTTCACTTAACTAGTTTTTAAATTATTCAAAAAAATTAAAAATATATTTTTTTTTAAGTTTAACACCCTGTATCTTTTTAACGAAGCGTTCTGATAAAAACTTTACAGGAAAGGCTCCCTTTAAAATTCACCTAAGAATACGAGATTTCATTTTTGGTCAATTTGTTATCAACCTGTATATTATTTAATATTGAAAACTATACCTATTAATTTCGAAATTTTGTCGATAAAAACATCTTAATTAGCAGTATGTTGTTTTTATATTAATTTGCTTTTGAGTAAATGTGTGTTCTTGATTTAAGCATATCAAGGATTGGAATGAGTTCAGTTGGACCACAAAATCACAGTGAATCCCAGCGCATTCGCCATATTATAGAATAAATAAAGTGGCCTTTTTGTAATACAGTTTTGATAAGATTACATCAAATCATTGGATACAACAAAATAATGGAACTTAGCCCAGAATGACAGTATAATATAATAATGAATTAAATAATTTATATAAGTACAACAAAATTGCACATTAGACTTAACAAACGTAAATATGTATGTATATTGTATTCAAATAGAAAAACAAAAAAATCAAATAATACAACAATTAGCAATATCTAATGAGAATAATGAGAATAAGTTTGATAAAATACTAAATTATTTAGCACAAATATATTTTTTTAATTCAAAGCACTAGACTTCAAATAAGCAGATATATTCTTTCCATGGAGTGACAAACAAAACTGGGAATTTCTATAAGGCTTGAATAATGAGAATTAACTTTTCTTCGTAACAACTCTGTTATATTATTTTGATTTAAAAAATAATGAGGCTAGCTTGGAAAAGTACAAAATATAAATCACTAATTCATAGTTTAAATTTTATAATCTATGCAAATTTGAAACAATTTGATGTATTCCTTAAAGAATTTGTTTATTATCACTATATTACTAATATAAAAAACTTATTGTAAAAAACATGTAAAACGGCAACATTTTTAAGTTGATTCTACGTAAAAACGACACTATTCTCTATTGACGTATAGACATCATCAACGTCTTTCTAAGGCATGTGTCTACGAGTACTGGGATGTGGGTATTTTTATAAACAGTGCTTGTGATTTTTTTAGACAGATCTAAGCTTCATTATTGTCTAAGAAATCATCCTTTAAAATAATTGTCTCAACTTTAAACTAACTCTGTTTTCTAAATACTGTTCAATCTTGTAACAGTAAATACTCAATTAAAAAAGTAAATTTATTGCTTTAAGAGCGCCATTGCGACAATCGCTCATCTTGAACGCCAGCTGGCCCTGAAATCAAAGAAACGGCACTGTCCCATAATCGATTAGTCAGAGTGGGAAGAGCCATCATCCACGCCACGCAGGTGACAAAGTAATTATCGTGAAAAAATTTAACGTAAGCCACGAGTCTAGATCATTATGAAATTAGCCTTATGTTTTTCACAAACCGCCAGGCGGGCGTTGCGACTTCAGCTGCACATTATAATTTGGGGTTATTGTCTGCGTTTCATCGCTTGTTTATTGAATGTTTACGGGCAGATGTAACTCGAGGACGGACAGACGCAACAACTGATATTTTTGTCGATTCACGACCGGGATGAAAGGGTGGATCATTTATTTCATTTTCAAAAAGTGTAGAGGATATTTCAGAAGTAATCGACCAAACTTAAGAATCGAATTCGGGTGGTCAAAGTAGGAACAAAATGTCTTATGAAAGGGGAGTAAAAAAATTATATTTTCTAATGTATAGTTTTTCCTATCTCAATTGAAGAACCAAGAGGTTGGCAGTATGTACGAGCTCCGTCGCTGACGCAACAACTCGGCTTTGAAATATTTAAAAAACTTGTTCCCATATTTATTTAGACACACCCATATACAGGTCTGGTCGCCCAGTTGAAGAATGAACTCGCGAGTAAATGCGGCACAAACACAGCCGAACTGGGCGACCTGGCCATAAATTCAGATGTCGACAAATGGCCTATCAGTGCAGTGCAGCAATGCGGAATTTGGTGTGACTCAGGTAATTTTAATTTATTATAGGCACCTTCTATTAATCACTCATATTACAATTGCGAAAGGGAGAAATGAGAGGGATATTTTATTTACTAATATTATTACAACACGGCACTTTGGAGACCTTTTAAAACGGAACAAAACGAAATTTAGCATCAAGATAATAAAATTATTTGAGGATATAAATAATAAAAATATGTTGTTCGTCAAATGAACATACAATAGAAATTTTCTACACATTTTATACAACTATTATAATTTTTTACCTTTAGAAGAAAACTATTTTAGGGACGCCTATGAAACTCATTATATTTTATTGCTAGGCATCTTTATACATGTCCAACTGACTTCGGAAAGGCTATACCTCTGTAGGCAACTTATGCAAGGAATGAGGTGTTTGAAGGTTATTTTCTTGTTTCATTTCAAAAATAAGCCCTGCAATTTTTAAACAAAGCATTTTTGGACTAAGGCGAGTTAACTTAAATTAAGTTGTTTTAACCTGAAGGAATATGTAGCCCTGTAGCAAGAATCTACCTAATTTAATTCTACTGAAAATGTACGGACATCTGTTTGATTAAAAAACCCTTGCACTCCCCTAAATTAATATAATTCTCTCATCGTGTATCATCTGCATGCATGCCGAGCACAAGCGAGGGCGGGGATGTCATATTGCACCGCTTATGCGTCATTTTCATGTTGTCAACGCTTCTGATCGAACTTTTGCGGTATCATCTCCAAAATCTCGCACATATGCCGTTACAGCAGTGAGATATGCTGCATCGATAAAACGCAACTGGCATAATGAGTACAATAATATCCGTTTTTCCAAAACGAATCACAAATCTATAGAATGTGGATAATAATAATAATAATAATAATAATAAACTTTATTATTTCAACAGGAAAAACCCAATTTCAGGAATAAATAGACAAATAAAAATACATACAATTTTCAAAAGTACGTGCATTCTTGAAATTTCTGCAGTTGTGATAAAAATTCCTTAAGTCCGGAGTGCACTCGACAAAACGATATTCATACGCTCATTAAAAGTTTAGAAAAAGTCTGGTATCAAACGTTATTCCTAGATCTTTGTATTGCTCAACATTGCTAATGAAATATCCCTCGACACGATAGTCATAGGTAACAAAATTGGTTTCACGGGTAAAGGTGGATATAATAAGAGACAATTGGTTTAGTTTGCACCATGATGGTAGATGATTCATGTATGTACATCTGAAGGCGATCGAAATCGAAGTGCGAATTTATTACCGATATTGGAGTCATCAGCAAACTGCAATTTTTCACATGACACGACATTCGGAAAATCGTTAATAGAAAACAAAAACAAGAGCGGTCCTAAATTGGAGCCTTGTGGAACATCCGAGGAAGTAGAAAATGTACGAAAAATAAAATTATTAAATGTGACCAGAAAGTGACTACTTGTTAAATAAGACTCCAGACTCCAGCGATTCTGAGACACCATAAATATGATGTCAAGGATTTAGTTAGTGAAGTTTAGAGAAGTTATTTGTTATTATAATTAAATTATACTTATTAATTCGCATATCAAGAAAGGAAATAAACATTTGAACTACATGACGTTCGATTGCATTTTTA